TTAAACTAGTAAAAGAAAACATAGATGAACATGTAGAAGTCTTAGAATGAAGAAGACCTTCCTAATTATGACACCAAAAGTAGAAATTACAAAGTAAACACTGATTAGACAACTACAACTTAAAATCTCTCTATAGCAAAAAAAACTCCATGAACATAATTAAAAGACAAGTGATTGACTAGAAAGGAGAAAAAGTAACATATATAGCAAAGGATTAATATTTTCAATATATTAAAAACTCTTAAGAGCAATAAGACACAAATTACATAATAAAAATGCAGTCTCTAAAAATCAAAAGTAAAATAAGGCATCCAGTAGCATCACTACAGAGGAACTACAAGTGACTTTAAAACACAGCAATTTCACAGGCCGTCCCAAGTGGGATCTACCTTAAGGACAAAAACAACTCCAAAAAGTTAACAACAAATTTTAAATTGTTTTCAGTATTCATACCATAAGCAATAGGGTGAGTATTGCCATTTCTAAGACTATGATTGTGATGTTAACAGCCAGGATTTTTGGTATGGAAGAAAAGCAATACAGATATATTGGATCAACAAGATAAAGTAAAAATTCTGTAGTCAGGAATTTGAATAGTGAGTATCAATATTAACTCACAATATTTTTATTGTATTTCCTATCTCTGTACACTGAAAGATCTTAGAAACAGTAAGTCCAGAAGTAATAGGCACTCCTAACACCCAGATTATTTCTATAAATATAATTTCCTTCTCAAAAAAAAAAAAAACCAGGATTCCCCCAGATAAATTACTAATTTTAGGTCTGGGACAAGAAATGTATGCAATGGGCCTGGTAGGAAGCTATCAGACTACTAACGTCATTTCAAAATCATTCAAGATTCAAATTAAAGAGGCACTCAAAGACAGGACAATCTCAGCATTAATAAAAAACAACAGCTACAGAGGATTTAAACAAATCAAATACATTTAAATACATAAGGTTGTATGGCACCTATTAAAGATACTAGGAAATTAACTCATTATTCTGAAAAAAAGAAAGACTTGAGCCTTTAGCTGCTTTACCTGTATGAATTGTACCTCAGGGCAAGCATAGAGTTTGATGTGGAGAATTCCTCTTTACAGAAGTTTTCCAGCTAGCAAATGTCAAAGGAATCACAGACTTAGACTATCAAAATTTAAGAGATCTCTAATTAACAGATGGATTTAGACAATGGTCATCAATGTCTATCATCATGCCATCATCATCACAAGAAAGGAGAAAAAGATTCTGTGTCTCCTGGTGGAGATGCACACCACCACTGATGAAGGGTCCTTGAAGGCCAAAACACAAAACAGTCAAAGCTGAATCTGATCAAGTATTTAGCTCTAACTGCAAATTTACAGATAGTTCAGGAGAAAGAGGAATACAAATACCACCACAGTAATCAATTAGCAAAATCCAGACTGTGGGGAATTAAGACAAACAATCTGATTTATTCATCAAGAGTAAAAATAATACAAATCATGGGGAAGGAAGAGAGGAAAGGAGGGAAGAAGGAAAGAAAGGAAAGAGGGAAAAGTGGAATTGGAATCTATAAATTAAAAAAGACAAATATGTGTAGTAAAATAGAGGAATTGTGGATACTGAATAGATACTTGATGACATTTAGAAAAAAAGTATTGATTTTTGTTGTAGTGTGATGGTGGTACAATGGTTATTTTTGAAAAGAAAGTATCTTTAGAGACACATACAGAAATGTTTGTAGAGATAATATTATTTAGAATAATATATAGTATTACATGTATATTACTTGGAATAATATGCAGTATGATATTAAAATATACAATATTATTTGGTGAAATATTTACAGGAAACAAGATTCACTATGTGTTGGTAATCGTTAAAAGTGAGTAACAGGAACACCAAGGTCATTATACAGTTCTATTTTTATATATGCTTGAAATTTTTCATAACAAAAAGATAAAACAGCAACAAGAAAAATTAACTACAGGCAACTCATAAAAGAAAAATAGCAACAACAAGTATGAAAAGAAATAAAAAAGAATTTTACTCTAGAAAAAAAATCTTAAAAATGCAAGTTTCTTAAAAGGTGAGGTTTCATTTTTCAAGTATCACATGGCCAAAACATTGAAAGATGAATGATACCCCTGGTAGCAAGGGAATCCAAAAACTCGCTTTCTTGTGTGCTCCAAACACTAGTAGACTAAATGGGCTCAAGTTTTCTGGAACGTATTTGGCAATATGTAACAAAGGTACATGGGGAAAGGAGCTAGAGTTCCAGGGCCAGGCTGCCGAAGTCAGATTGCAGTCACGCCACTCACTGGTGGCAGGACCCAAAGCAAGTACCTTAGCAGCTGTGTGCCTCAATTCCTAGCCCATAAAATGCATGCACTGTAATAGTGGCATCCACCTCAAAGGATGCTGTGAGGCTAAATCACAATATTCGTATCAAACTTGGACTAGTGCCTGGCATATAGTGCTGGCTTTCATTATTATTTTGGCCCAGCAACCTCACTTCTAAGAATTTAAGGAAATCTTAATCAAGTGCACAAAGACCTATATACGTTTTTAAATCACTTCATGATTTACATAACACAAAAAGTAGAAATGGCTGGTTTAAAAATTTTTTGCAATCTTTGCCTGGAATACTAGGTGGCCATTAAATATAACTATCTTACATTTATGCGTTCAGACATGTACATGTTTACTGATATAAAGACATTTGTAGTCTGTTTCCCAGGAGGAAAATCAAGCTAGAGAAGAACTGAACCCTAGGAAGATTTTTTTCATCACTGCACGTACATCTAGACGTTAACAATAATTGACTCTGAATTTGTCGTTATTCAAATTTATTTTTCTTTTTGATTATCTATATTTTCTAATTTTTCTGTATCAATCTTATTTTTCTAATTTTTAAAAGATCTGCTCATATGTTCCACGGTTCTGGTAAATCTTATGCTGATTAATTTTAGGTTCAATTTGATGAGATCAAGAGATACCTGGACAGCTGTAAAGCATTATTTCTGAGTGGGTCTGAGAAGGTGTTTCCAGAAGAGATTAGCATTTCAATCAGTAAACTGAGTGAGGAAAATCTGCCCTCACCCATTGTGGGTGGGCACCATCCAACCTGCTGTGGGCCTAGATAGAAAGGCTCTCTCTCTGGAGTTGGGACACCCAGCTTCTGTCCTTCGATGTCAGAACTCCAGGTTTTCTGGTCTTTGCACCCCAGGACCTGTATGAGTAGTCCCAGGTTCTCGGGCTTTTGGATTTAGACTGAGCCACTCTACCAGCTTTCCTCATGCTCCAGTGTACAGATGGTCTGTGCTGTGACTTCTCAGCCTCCATAATCATGTGAGCTGATTCCCTTAATAAATCCTGTCATTTACTGGAGAAATTGGCTAATAAAGTATCTATACATATATATATACACACACACACATAAGAATACATATATATGTATACACATAAGTATCTATACATATATATACATATATACACATAATTATCTATACATATATACATATATATACATAAGTATCTATACATATATATACATACTTATGAGTAGATACATATACATATATACATATGTATATATGTATACTTATTTGTATATATATGTATAGATACTTATGTGTGTATATATACTTTATACTTTATGCATATATATATATATACACACAGCATAGAAAAACCAAAGTAATATGTTAAGTCAAAGCCTCCAAAGTAGATAGAAAAACCCATTTGGAAACGTGACATAATGATAAACATTCCAGAATAGGGACATTCTCACTGGTAATCATCACCAGTGTGTGCATACACACGTACTAACACATTTACTGTTTTCATTTTGGTTCCCCCAAAGTTGGAGCTAGAGACAAGGACTTGGGTGCAGATTAATTTATCTCAGAGGTGCTCATAAGAGAAAGAAGTGAAGGAGAGAGAAAAATGAAACAGAAAGGAGGAAGGTCGATGAACTATGCATTCATAATAGTAAATGCATACTAGCGAGAACTAGCACTCAGTCCCATGAGGGACTCTGAGAAACCGTGCAGAATAAACCTCAGAGGTGCCGCACGGAAGCACAGGAAGCCTGGAACAATTACTCATCAACTCCCATCCCACCAGGTTGGGGGCTGATCTGGTAGCATCAGCTCTCCTGAACTTCCTCACTGAGCTGCTTCCTTTATACCACAATACCCCCCAGCCCGTTCCCTCCCCTAGCCGCCCTACTCCACCACCAGACCCTTTTTGCTCCCTGCAGCGCATTTCTTCCATCACCTTCCTATGAGAACTTCAAGGCCTCGCCAGGTGTCAGCACCATCCAGAGGTCAAAAGAAGTCTGGGTGAGGTAGAGGTGGTAATAGATGAAACAAGACTGACCTTGAGTTGAGTTGATAATATTTGAAGTCCAGTGATAAGCACATGGGCTCATCACACTATTCCCTTTATTTATATATGTGTTCGAAATTTTCCATAGCAAAAAGTTAAAAATAGATTTTTGCTATGGCAGGGATGGAGGTTCTTTGCTGAGCCTCCCTTTCAGGAAAAAAAAAATGCCATTCAACCAGGAGAAATGAAGTTGGCAGACAGGTTCACTCCAGCTTTCAAGTCGAGGTCTCATTCAGTCTGGGTTGCCCCAGCCAATGGCCAAGTGTGGTGCAGGCACAGGGCCTGGCCATTTCTGCACAATGGGGACTCCCAAGTGGGCAGTTCTTGCTTAGGAGCTCCCCACTGGGTCAGTGGAGACCTTGTCAACTGCACATCGATGCCCTGAGCTCTCCTGACTCCTCTGGCTTCCTTCTCTTTTTCTGTTGACATGGTCAGATGAGCATTGCACTCTGCGGCCTTTCCCCGCCAGATCCTGCCTCCATCTCCTCTTTTCCATGTGCAGCTCCTCAATAACTCCATCTTCAAAACTGTGTCCCAAAGACCTAAACTGACACAATTAAGATGCAGTTGCTTCCTTCCCTCCCAACGCCCTGAAAGCTCCAAAAATAATGAAATGCATACCAGAGTTAAAAACATGGTGCTATATTTAAATGTTTACATATAATATATTAATGTTTTTCATACTAAAAATATAAAATGGCTATGTATAAAACCTGATTTTGGAAATAATATCAAAAATTACATGTGTGATCCTTTGGGGACATGAAGTCCAGCCAAGTGGCCCTTCTCCCTTCCCACCCATGAGTAGGCCTGCCACATGTCACAACCCTCGGAAACTCTCCAGGATCACCCAGGCTGGGTTGGATGGTCTCGCATATGCTCCCATAACACCCTGTTCTCTATCACTAGATTACTACCCTATGCTGGCACTGGCTGTAGACATTCTGCCCCAGCCTCTGCCTGCACCCCAACTCAGCAGTGAGAGGCTGGAGACCCTGGTGCAGAGTAGACAGTCACTCAGTAAATAATTTTGGATCAATCCCTGAATGACTGACTGAGGCATATGTCCCCAAAATGACCCCAGATAGGACCCATCCCCACAATGTTCCTGTGGTTTTTATTTGTTTGTTTGTTTTTGAGACAGAGTCTCACTCTGTCGCTCAGGCTGAGAGTGCAGTGGCACAATCTCAGCTCACTGCAATCCCTGCCGCCTGGGTTCAAGTGATTTTCCTGCCTCAGCCTCCCAAGTAGCTGGGATTACAGGTGCCTGTCACCACACCCGGCTAATTTTTGTATTTTTAGTAGAGATGGGGTTTCACCATCTTGGCTAGGCTGGTCTGGAACTCCTGACCTCATAAACTACCCACCTCAGTCTCCCAAAGTGCTGGGATTACAGGTGTGAGCCATGCCTGGCCTCCTGCAGCTTTATAAAAGGCTTGGGAAAAGAGAGCCAGTTGACTCTTTTCGGTCTGGGGGAAACATGGAGGTAGACTACCTGGAGGTCCTGTTATAACCCTTTCTCAAGCCTTGGGACCCAGGGGATCCTAGTCAGGTACCTGTGGCCCTCTACGGCAAGGCCTCTCTCTCACAGGGCAGAAGGGATGAGACCCTATCTACTCCCTGCACTGCTTCTCTCCAAGAGGACCATCTCTTGGCTGTTTGTGAAGACGAGACGCCCAGAAGCCTCTTCCGTTGGAGAGGAGCTGAGCTGGCCCCAGCCAAGCTAACCCTCTGGCCGGTCAGCCTCTGGGGTGAATCACCAGGCAGGAACCCTGGGTTGGCCAGAGCTCTGTGGACCAGTGCCAAACTTCTCTGGGAGCTTTGAGCGAGACAAGGGCTTGGGTTTCTCTCTCTGGTCCAGGCCCAAAGGAAGATCTTCCAAGGAAGAGATCTCTAAGTCACTCTCATCTTCAGAAAGCTGTAGGAAGGAAAGGGGAGAAGGAAATGCATTTTGATAAGGGAGGAGGGTGGCTGAGAGCTAAGCACACTGCAGGATGGGAATGCAGAATGGAAATGGGGACAAATGCAGATCGGGAAGAAAGCAATAGGGAGATGCTACTCCTCCTGCCTTCCCAGGCCTCGTTCTACCTTTGAGAATCTGCTTTAGTGACCTGGGGTCAGAGTGATTTCAAATACCACTGAAATTCTACTAACCAAACCCAGGGAAGTGCCTTGGAAAGAAAGGCCTCTGTGCAGATCAGGTTGCTCTTGTTTCACTTAAACTTTGTGCAGATTTGTAACTCCCACTTTGACAGAGCTAGAAGCTCAATCAAGTTCTCAAGATGAATGTACTGTGGGCTAACTTCCCTCCTCTCAGATGGGTTCCCTCTGACCTGGTAAACATCCTGACTGCAGGAGCATGAGAGGAGCTCGAGAACGACAGGAGTCCAGCCTGGAAGGGTTTGGGCTGCTGCCAGCAGGACAGCTCGGAGTCGGACAAGGGGCCAGGCCACCCCCAGACCACAGCCACTTGCGCAGCAGCCCAGGCCTTCCCTTCCAGAGTCCTCAGTGCCCCTGCTGGCCACCTGGGCTTTGAAGCAAGCCATTCTATGCATTTTCTCCAGGCATGTAAGGCCAACCAATCAGAACCCATGCAGGGTGCAGGGCAAAAGCGTGCTCTGAGCAGTGCCTCTCCATCTGTTTGGGACTGTTGGTGCTCTTGCACAATTTGGAAAAAGGAACAAGTTTTGTTTTTCTTTTCAATCATTTGGATGCATTACTCACAAACATACATGAACTGTGTGATAAACCAAACACATTATGTGGTAAAGAGGGGGGAGTGTTACCAAAAACCAAAGAATGCTTGCCCACTACTTCCACATCCTAGAGCAATAGCACTGATTACCCAGGATGCACCTTTTTGATTGAGAACGGTGAGAAAGGATGTGAAGTAAAGGGAGCGCTAAAGTCTTCTGCTTGAAAAATAACAGCAGCGTGCAAGTTGTTCCCTGATGGAGGAGACGGGGCAGTGAGGAGGCTCTGATGGTGCTAGGGGAAGCTCAGCATCCGAGCTCTAAGTCAGAAAATCTGACGGTGGACTAGAGTCTGAGGCAAGGCTCAGGTTTCTAAAACAAAGGTATCTAAGTATTCCTGTGTTGTGCTGTTATGGACTCTGACGTGCTATGTGAGGCCACTCCAGTAATGCCCTTGGGGGAGTCCGCTCCACACACAAAATGTGTTAGGGTCTGTGGCAGAGCAAAGGACTGGGGAGGAGCCCACTGTGGGATGAGACGGAGCTGGAAGAGCAGCAACTGCAGGAAGCCAGATGCAGAGTCAGCTCCGACACTCTCTTGGAGGCAGGAGATGGGAGAATCCAAACTTACTGAGCATTGCTTGTATAATGAACCAAAAGGTTTTATAAAGTTAACTTGGATACAAGTACAAACCGGCTATCTCGCCACACGCACAGGGGCAGAGGGACATCACCTGCAATGTCCCACTAGGGCCAAGGATGACACTTGCTGGACCCTCCCCAACCTTTATCCCAGGCCTCCCAAACTCAGAGCTGGCTGTAGGGAATTGCAGGACAAACTCTTAAGCATCCCACATCCTACCTGAGGCTTCCTTCCGGGTATGGGAGTCCTCTGTGGCCCAGCATTGGGTGTAAAAAACAGATTGACCCCTCCAGCAGGCTTCTTTGCCGGAGTTTCTAGCTGCTTCTCCAGGTGTTTAACCATTGACTGCACCAGTGTTCCTGGAAGGAGAAGTGGCTGTGTCAGTGAGAGAAGCCTAGAAAATGAGCATTTCATCCTTGAGGGTAGTGTCTCGTGTCCAGGCTCCAGTGTAGATAGAGGGAACGAGCAAAAGGGCCAGGAGGAGGAAGGCTGAGCAATCACAAAAAAGAGAGGCAAGGAGACAAAGAAGGCCAGGCCAACAGGTACGCAGTGGACAGAGGCTTGGCGTATTCTGAAAATGTGACTGTGCAAACTTAATGACATGGCTGGTGACAGAGGCTTCAGGAAGTTGTGCTTCCCTCTACTGAGAGGCTGAGCAGGACCTCTGCTCAGTGTGGGGAATGAACTGTATCATTAACATGTAGTTAGTTCCTCAATGTCTTCACACAGAGACAAGAAGAAATATCATAAAGATATTGATATCATATCTTTATGATCGCATGGGAGGACCTCAGGCAAGAATGACTTTCTGTGAAGTCTGTGCGGGAAGCAGGAGTTACGCAGTGACAGAGACCATCAACAGATCCCTTGTGCCTGGCACACCAAGGTAATGTATGAACCTCAGGAATGACCAAGAAGCAGGAAGCTAATACAGCCTTCTAGGATTCAAATTAAATCAAGGTCTGAGCAGACTTTGGGAGCTACAACAGCCCTTGCTTGGCTCATCAATTCTTTCAAGAACTTCTTTCAAGTGCTGGTTGTTCCTCTAATCCAGCCCTAACAGGAAGCCTATGCCTTAGGCATTCATGGGCCCTGTCATCACAAATAGAGCAAGGCTTTTTTTTTTTTAATTATTATTGCACTTTAGATTCTGGGCTACATGTGCAGATCATACAAGATTATTGCATAGGGACATTCATAGCAAGATGGTTTGCTGCCTCCATCCCCCCATCACCTATATCTGACATTTCTCCCCACGTTATCCCTCCACACCCTCCCTCCCACTATCCCTCCCCTAGCCCCCCTGCAATGGACCCCAGGTGTGATGCTCCCCTCTCTTTGATCACCCATGGCTGGCCACAGTGTTTATTCTCTACTGGAAAGAACCTGGAGGAGAAAAGGGGTGAGTGGTCTCCCTTCGACGTCCCACAGTTAACAATTTAATGACAAAACAAGGCATAAAATAAAACCTTGCTCAAACTCTAGCTTTCTCCTGATATCTCTACTATCCCAATAAAATATCTTTGGGGAAAGAGGACCATCCTCTCCAAATCAAATAGGGAAAGAGATGTCAAATCAGAAAGGCTCAAGAAAGCTGCAGGGTGTTGCTGGAGCCCCAACAACACCTGGGTTAGAGAAGGGCTACACCGGCGGCCCCAGCCCACTCACCCGAGGATGCCAGCTCACCTGAGCCCTGGCCAGGGGGCTGGGCGTTCTCCTCCGAGGTCTCTGTGTCAGACCAGTCCCAGTCAACCTCAGGCTGGGGCACCATTCTGGAAGGAACTTTCGGGGGCTGTAGAGATACATGCTGTACACGGTCTCCCTCTGAGTCCTCTTCAGAACTGAATGGGGAGGTGCTGCCACAAGGAGAAGAAATGAGGGATGCATGGGCCAGAAAGAAAACTTCAAAAGCCAAACTTCACCATATTGCAAGCTGGTTTGCTTTGCTCAGGGCCAGCCCTGCTCCCTCCCTCAGGCACAGGAGACAGCCAGGAGACCCCTGGAGTGCAGCAGCCAACCAGCTTCTCCCTTAGTAGAGCCCTGCCTGTCTGAGGATCCAGCCCCTCTGGAGTAGGAATGGGTTTGGGATAGAGAATGGGTAAGGGGAGGGTGGGTTTGTCTTGGCTGGAAGCACAGGTTCTCAAGTATCTTCTCCAGAGCTCAGACTGGACCCCACCTGAGGCACCTTCTATTCACATGTGTCTTCCCCTTTCCTATCTAGAGAAGCCCAGAGGGAGCCCAGAACAGAGCTGCCTGAAGCCAGGAGCCACCACCACAGGTGGGGTGAGAGGGCAGAGTCTGGGGCTCACCTCATCCCGGGCCCCGAGGAAGGAGGGGTGCTGGAGGGTCCATGCACTCTGGGGCGTGGAGTGGGGGCGGACACCTGGGTCAGAGTGGAGCCATGGCTGCCATGGCTCTGATGAGTTGGTGGGGGTGGCTCTGCCAGCTTGGATGGCAAAGCCACCTGAAGGGTCCTGGTCTTTGGCTGGGCCTCTCTGGTGACCAGTGTGCTCTGCTGGCTTTTGACTGGAAACACAGAAAGGAATGACTTTTGTAGTACACCCATGCTGGATCTCAAGCCTAAGAGGAGGAAGAAAGCAGCTCCAATACCCTGGAAATGGACAATCACTCCCTCTCAGTATGCTGTGATAACCACAGCAGATTTCATGATTGCTGCCAAATTAGGTGTTCTGCTGCTGGCTCGATTCAAGGCTGGGACCACAGTTCCATACTTTCCTCAGATACCATGAGAGCAGCTGGGCACAGGTGTTCCAGAGTCATACTGTCATTACAGAAGACCAGCAGGAGTCTGCAGGTGTGAAGAGGGGCTCAGCAGTCCTAGAGATGGACTTCACCAAGGCCACTACCCTCTCTCACGCTCCAGCCGCTCCAGTGAAGGCAGCCCTGCAGGAAGACCCTCCTGCCACCAGAGGTCGCTGCAGGGCTGCAGGAACTATCAAAGATCCTCTCAAACCTAAACGCAGCCTGGGTCAAGGCAGTTCCAAGACAGACAGAAAATTGATGCAATTTTCCAAATTGCATCAAGACCCATTGCCGGGAAGAGGGATCCCGGATCAGTAAGTTTGTATGGAAAGAGAAGAGAGAGAGTGCATCACAGGGAGTCAGGCAAGTGTGGATTCAGTCACAACATAAGATGAGTTTCTTACAGTAGTTCAAGGTCAAAAAATGTTTGAATACAGTTGACCCTTGAACAACATGGGTTTGAACAGCACAGGTCCACTTATAGATGGATTTCCTTCCGACTCTGCCACTCCTGAGACAGCAGGAACAACCCTTCCACTTCCTCCTCCTCCTCAGCCTACTCAACACAAAGATGAGGTCAAGGTGAAGATAAAGACAAGGATGAAGTCCTTTATGATGATCCACTTCCCCTTAATAAATGGTAAACATATTTGCTCTTCCTTGCGATTTTCTTAATAACAAGTTCTTTTCTCTAGCTTACTTTATTGTAATAATATAACATAGAATCCATCTAACATACAAAACATGTGTAAATAGTCCATGTTGTCATTAAGACTGCTCATCAACAGTAGACTATGAGTAATTAAGTTTTGGGGCAGTCAAAAATTACACGCAAATTTTAAACTGCATGGGGGGGTTGATGTCCCTGACCCCTGCGTCGGTCAAGGGCCAGCTGTGTACTGCTCTCAGATAATGTGTCTGCTCAGAAGTGGCGCTGCCAGGAAAGAGTAAACTGAAGAGAAGGGGAAGACAATGACAAGCCTGCTGGCAGATAACAGCAATAGCTTCCCATCACTGTGCACCAGATACCAAGAAAAGCACTTTACGTACAGCCACTTGGCCCCCGAGCATCTTCAGAGGCTATCATTTTCCCTACAGAGGCCTCCAGAGATTGAGACTTGCCCTCAGCTCCACAGAAGAAAGTGGTCAATACAAACCGAGGTTGTCTGTCTGCCCCAATCTTGGGCCCTCACCACTGCCTTCGCTACCTCCACAGCCTTGCCCCAGATAAGAGAAGAGGCAGGGTCTGAGCAGAGATGGGAGGTGAGCATTAACACAGCACTTGTGGGACCCAGCAAGAGAATAAAGGTGCAGAGCTGGAAGAAATGGTCTACAAAGTGCCACAAAAACACAGCGCTCATCTCACACCTCAGTAACATCTCCAGAGAAGGCAGAACCCCAGCCAGGGAAAGGCAAAGGCGGTGAAGGCTCCTTTCCCTTTCCTCTTGGCTTTTTTACTACAGGAACAAAGGTGTGTGGGAGTATGTGGGGTGTGGCACCTAGACGGAGCAAGATACCTTTGCTTTTTCTTGGAAGCCAGCATTCTGAGGGTTTTTCCATTCATCCTTCCCGAGTCCCTGTCCCCTCCCTCCTCTGAGCTCCCACTGCCCCCGTGCTTGCCTCCATCACATCACCTGGTCCTGGCTGGTTTCCCAGGTAGGGGTGGCAGGCCCTGACACAGAGTCAACCTCAGCAAGTACTGTACTAAATGAATGAGTGGACTAATGAATGAATGAGCATTCAGCTGAATGAGCAAAAAGATGTACCTTTAAATTGGAGCATGAAAGCCAGATTAGCAACCAGGACAAATACCCATCTGTCTGAGATTTCTGTGCAAGACTAAAAACCGTCCTTTCCTTAGAGACTTTAAGACCAGAAGTTTAAACTAAATATTATCATTTCCCAGGTCATCAAAAAATTTTTTTACCATATTCTCCTGCCAAAATGACAATGCTTTTAAACACAAAGTACCTGCTTCATACTTGTCCAAGTAATTTCCGTGAGCTCACAGGATTGCTATGTTAGTGTTGTTTTCTTCTAATTCACATGAGGAAAAAAAAAACATAAGTTATAAAATGATTGGTCCCTGCCGGGCGCGGTGGCTCACACCTGTAATCCCAGCACTTTGGGAGGCCAAGGCGGGTAGATCACGAGGTCAAGAGATCGAGACCATCCTGGTCAACATGGTGAAACCCCGTCTCTACTAAAAATACAAAAAAATTAGCTGGGCATGGTGGCGTGTGCCTGTAATCCCAGCTACTCAGGAGGCTGAGGCAGGAGAATTGCCTGAACCCAGGAGGCAGAGGTTGCGGTGAGCCGAGATCGCGCCATTGCACTCCAGCCTGGGTAACAAGAGCAAAACTCCGTCTCAAAAAACAAAAAAAAAATGATTGGTCCCTGTAGCAACTAAAATCATCTCTCATATCCTCAGAGATGTGGGGGCCACTCTGTAAAATTTTTTTGCATGAAGAACTCAGATCAGTTCTTTCTGGACACAGGAGATAATGAATTGACCTCCTTCTGGCCACATATGTCCCTGACTGAGGAGACGAAGTGAAAGGGGCAGAGCAGCACCCTGCATGAGCAGACCCAGCCCCACTGAAGCCCTCCCCAGAGCCTCCAATTACAGAAGCCCAGGCCCTCTGGGAACCCTCTAGAAACAGGGGCCTCTCAAACCTGGGAACACAAATAACCTTGCTCTGTAAGAACAGATTCAAGGGAACTTGTCCACAGAATTCAGTGTTCCGCCAGAAACACAGGGCCTTCTCTTGTCATGACCCCCAGAGCATGGACAAATGGTAAAGTAGCAGCTATGACCTGGCCCAGGGAACTAACCCTGAGCTCTGGGAATTCATCTGAGTGCAGAACTGGCCCAGCCTCTCATAACCTCCCATGGCCAGAGCAGGGGATAGCTGAGCTCTGAGGAAATTTACATTTGATGGATATTTGCCTCCACCTGCAGCTTCAATGCTCCCAGGCCTCTGCCTGCCTCCCCAGGCTGGCATGCCTGGTGTGTAGAGCCAGAAACTGAATAGGCTGCTCTCTGTTAAAGAGACACTCAACTGTGGTCACAGCAAGCCAAGTAACACAGAATGAAGGTGCTAAGGGAGGCAGCGTGTCTGCTTAGGGACAGTTCAGGTCGACAACAGGGTCCAGCTCTGGCTCTCCTCCAACTTCTCTGAGTAACCCTGGATAAGTGCCCCCACCCCCACCCCAGATCCTGTTTCCTCAACAGAGAACTTTGGGACTCAGTCATCTGTGGGGACTCAACCAGCTCAGTCCTTCAGAGAAGTGCCCCTAATGGGGACAGAGACTATACCCTCCTCATATGCAAACAAGCCTTGGCAAGAATGGGACCCTTCCAGGTCACAGCCCTGAGCAAGCCCTCTCCCCAGTGTACCTGAAGGCTGCCCGTCTGGCTGGGACACCATAGTGCCATCCTCCTGTCTCTCCTTCGCTCTGCTGGTGACTTCCTTGACGAGCTTTCCCCTCAGGCTCAGAAATTCAGAAAACTTCCGGGCCTTCTGCTCCCGCTGGACTCTCAGCAGGGATTCCAGGTGTCTGAGAGTCTGAACCGAGATTCCCTTTGCATCCTAGAGGAGACAGGAGTTCACCTTTACAGACAGGCTACGCTTCTCCTCCTTCCCCTAAGCCTCTCACACCTGCTGCTGCTGCTGCTGCTGCTGCTGCTGCTGGCCTGGGAGTCTATGATCAGTGCCGGGTGCTTTTCTTGAATGAGGAGGGGGCATGAAATGAGGATCAGAGCAGGGTAAGCAGTGGCTTCAAAGTTGCTGAAAGTGCAATGGTTAAGAGTTTGGGAGCCCCATCAAAATGTGAATAGCAGGATAATGAAAAGGACTGCGTTACAATTCTAACCACATCACAGCATGAGGGACTTAGCTGGAACATGCTTTTCTACCATCTGACTGAATCCTAGGATAAGAGACCATGGCTTGCTCATTTTTAAACCCCCAATTACTATTATTATGCCAAACACACTGTCCATGGCTAACAATGTTTTAAAAACTAAACTGCAATAAACACAATCCAGGTACCCTTTTAAGACCTATTGGAAGTTGCTCGAGCTTTGACATCTATCCAGAGCCCATGGGAGGGTCTAGGGAGGCATCTGAATCCAAGATGAGGATTCATGCAAGGTTAGGAAGGAATGTCTTAAGTCTCAATACAGAGCCAAAGTCAGTAGTTGAAAACAAAGTAGTGAGCATTCTTACTAAAATAACCCTAGTTGTCCATTTTTTTTTCTAACTTACTCTACACAAATAGTATTTTCAATAATGTAATGCGTGGCTACTTTAATAACAGGTGTGTTTTTATTTAATCGGTGCTTTTAACAACAACATACGTGTTCTGGTTAAGCATAATTGCATTCAAATACTAGTTGGAGAGAGAATCCACAGACCCTTTAAAGGAACTGGATCACTGCTGCAGGCTTCCTGAGATGGTGAAAACCTATCAGTCTGCCTGCTTTCCCAGTGGGGAGGCTCGTGGTCTAGGATAAGTTCTCAGCCCTGGTCACCGGCTGCCTGATTACAGACTCGGTGTTGTTGGTGGGGCACGGTGTGAGTGAGATGGGACTTTGGGAGTGTTATTTTATTTATTTTATTTTTTTTTTATTTTATTTATTTTATTTTATTTTATTTTATTTTATTTTATTTATTTTATTTTATTTTATTTTATTATTTTTGAGACGGAGTTTCGCTCTTGTTACCCAGGCTGGGGTGCAATGGCGGATCTCAGCTCACCGCAACGTCCGCCTCCTGGGTTCAGGCAATTCTCCTGCCTCAGTCTCCTGAGTAGCTGGGATTACAGGCACGCGCCACCATGCCCAGCTAATTTTTTGTATTTTTAGTAGAGACAGGGTTTCACCATGTTGACCAGGATGGTCTCGATCTCTTGACCTCGTGATCCACCCGCCTCAGCCTCCCAAAGTGCTGGGATTACAGGCTTGAGCCACCGCGCCCGGCCGGAATAGCTATTCTTATAACAGACAAAACAAACCTTAAAGCAACAGCAGTTTAAAAAGACAAAGAGGGACATTATATAATGATAAAAGGACTCATGCAACAGGAAAATATCACAATTCTAACTATATATTTACCTAACACTGGACCTCCCAAATTTATAATACAATTACTACTGACCCAAGAAATGAGATAGACAGAAACACAATAAGAGTAAGGGATTTTAATACTGCACTGACAGCACTAGACAGGGCATCAAGACAGAAAATCAACAAAGAAACAATGGACTTAAACTATATCCTACAACAAACAGACTTAATAGATACTTACAGAACATTCTACCCAAAACTGGTAGAATATACATTCTATTTATCAGCTCATGGAGCATTCTCCAAAACAGACCAGATGATAGGCCACAAAACAAGTCTCAGTAAATTTAAGAAAATAGAAATTATATCAAGTACTCTCTCAGATCACAGTGGAATAAAATTGGAAATCAACTCCAAAAGAAACCCTCGAAACCATCAAATACATTAAAATTAAATAACCCATTCCTGAATGATCATTGGGTCAACAATGAAATCAAGATGGAAATTTAAAAATTCTTTGAACTGAACAATATAGTGACACAACCTATCAAAACCTCTGGGATACAGCAAGAGCAGTACTAAGAAGAAAGTTCATAGCAGTAAATGCCTACATCAAAGAAAGAGCACAAATAGACAATCTAGGTCATTCCTCATGGAACTGGAAAAACAAGAATAATCCAAACCCAAGGAGACAATGGATCAGGAAAGGTGACTGAGGAGCAGGCTCAGAAGCATTGGGTAGGAGCACTGGAGGTCCTAAGGACTGCAGAATGTCCTTAAATGAGGAGGGAGTTTCCCAGAGTGGGGATGCTCAGCATCACTAATTATCAGGAAAATGCAAATCAAAACCACAAAGTGATACCACCTCACTCCTACAAGAATGGCCATAAACAAAAAATCAAAAATTAATAGATGTTGGCATGGATGTGGTGAAAAGGGAACACTTTTACACTGTTGGTGGGAATGTAAGCTAGTACAACCACTACGGAAAACAGTGTGGAGATTCCCTAAAGAACTAAAAGCAGATCTACCCTTTGATCCAGCAATCCCACTACTGGGTATCTACCCCAAGGAAAAGAAATCATTACACGAAAAAGATACTTGCTCATGTACGTTTATAACAGCACAATTTGGAATTGCAAAAATATGGAACCAGCCCAAATGCCCTTTAATCAACAAGTAGATAAAGAAAATGTGGTATACCTACATGCCATGGAATACTACTCAGCCATAAAAAGGAATGAAATAATGGCATTTGCAGCAACCTGGATGGAACTGGAGAAGTTACTAAGTGAAGTAACTTAGGAATAGAAAACCAAACTCGTATGTTCTCACTCATATGTGGGAGCTAAGCTATGAGGATGCAAAGACATAAGAATGATACATTGGACTCAGTGGATTTGGGGGAAAGGGTAAGGGGTGGCAAGGGATAAAAAAAACTACACACTGGGTTCAGTGTACACTGCTCAGGTGATGGGTGCACCAAAATCTCAGAAATTACCACTAAAGAACTATTCATGTCACCAAACACCACCTGTTCCCCAAAAAACCATTGAAATTTTAAAAATTTAAAAATCTGAAAATAAAATATACATACACACATGTATATACATACATATACGTGATTGCTAAAAAAACTATAGGAAAATATAAGTTATTATTTCTCAAAAAAATAATAATTGGTGTCAGGCACAGCTTTCAGTGATGCCCACACACAGCCACCTGCTGAGTGGACATGGCCATGTGTACCACAGATGATGGGCCTGGAGATGGATATTTACCCAAGGAGGGGACCTGTCCATAGGCCAGATTGTGCCAATTAAATTCCCTCTAGCAACAAATTTAGAGACACAAAAGGAAGTAACCAGTGAGTGGAGGACACTAAGCAGTCAGGACTCAGGGTAGCATCACCAGCCAAATAGGGCCAGTCCTGAGAAGCTGCTGGAGAAACAGAGGAAAGATACCAAATTCTAGCTGTGAAGGGAGAAAGGCGTGTGGATGCCAAAGGAGCCCAGGCTGGCACAAGTGAGATGAATGAGTTCACAATGCAAAGACCAATCAACCATTTGTTTGAGAATACCTCATGTCTAAATCATAGGTATCAGCCCTTAAAATGGCGGCCTTGAAACTCACCTTCCTTATCCCCATGCTCTCCAGCTTCTCTTCCAGGGTGTCCTCCAGGATTGGTCTGAATTGCTTCAGCAAGGTGGGGTTACACCTCAGAGCTGCCAGCACCTTTTGCTGTTCATCCTGGGAGTCCTCCGGCTCTGTAGCATAAGATAATCACCCAGATCAGCCTGGGCACCTGAGCTCTCCATTCCCAGAGCCCCACTGCACCTGCCGAGCCCTCACTCTGCCAAGGATCCTGCCAAGGATCCTGGTCTCTGGCCTGTGATTCGCAAGGCCACTGACCCCTCTTGAGTGTCCAACCTTGGGCCAGAAGCTGGGGTATTTCTGCTCCTGGGTACCACTGCCTTGGGCCCTCCACACACCTTCAGCATTCTCATCCCCTGCCAGTCTGGATCTCTAAAACCTGAGCTCAGTCAGTCCTACCACAGGTTAACTCAGGACTTGGGGCTTGCACTTGAGCCCTGAAAGCTTCTTTGGGCTCCCTTCTAATCTCAGATTCCAGGCCCTCTGCAATGGGTTCCAGCCTAATTCTAGCTCCACTTGATGCTCTCATCTCATTTCCATGCCAGGCTCAATTCTGGTCCAGGTGATAAATTGGTGAACCAAAAAGACAAATCACTGCTCCCTCAAGTTTACTAGATTGGGTATTCTCCCTCTAACTTCAGCATATATCAGAATCACCAGGGCATGGGTTAAAAATTAATAGTCCCTCACCTCTCCAAAGAGTCTGATTCCATAAGTCTGGGGAAGGGCCCTAGAATCTGCATTTTAACATGATGAGATGATTCTGATGGAGGTGAGCCACAGGCTATACTTTAAGAAATACTGATCTGAGGTTAGCAAAATAAGCAATTAACAATTAAATGTGGTAAGTGCTACAAAGGAGCAGTCCAAGGCGAGTCAAGGAAGGCCTCCCAGAGTTTTCTTCAAGTTCCATGTGGGGGCCTCTGCGGTAAGAGCTGGACCAAGCCCTTTGACTCACTCAGTAGACATTAACTGAACAAGTAGCATGAGTGTAATAAGGCTGAGGCTGGATGGTAAGGACACAGAAGCCCATCTCTCATTCCCCAAGGACCTCACTCACAATCAAGGGTGGTGAATCTCACTGCTGGCTGCGTGTTGGAATCACCTCAGGCTGATGCCATCAGAATCTCTCAAGGTGGGCCCCAACACTTGATATTTATGTTTTAAATTCTCTAGATATTTTAATCAACAGCAAAGCCTGAGACACAGTGATTGTAGGACAATGCTCCTTAACTGTGAGCAAAAGCAGCAGCATCACCTGTTAACTTGTGAGACGCAGATTCTCAGCTCCCACTCTAAACCTACTGAATCAAAAATTCTACAGGTGGGACCCAGAAATCTGGGTTATAATAATCCCTCCCCTGCCACTCATTCACCCCTGACCCTGTGTGATTCTGCTCAATAAAGTTTGCACCTGGACATGATCCTCAACCTTGTCTACACATTGGAATCACCTGGGGAGCTTTAAATGCTGCTGATGCCTGGAACCCACCCACTCCATGTTCTGCTTTAGGTAACGTGGGGGTGTGAAGTGGTTCTCCAGACAGTTCAAGTTTGATAGGTGATTCTTAATGTTTAGCCAGTTGTAGACAGCCACTGGTCTCACAGTGGTTCTCAAACTTGAGCAAGAATCAGAATGCCCTGGAGAGAGTGTGAAAACAGACTGCTGTGTCCTACCCCCAGAGTTTCCGCTTCAGTTTGTCCAGGATAGGGCCTGAGAATTACAACTTTGCATTTCTAACAAATTCCCAAGTGATGCTGTTGCCTGCCAGTCTGGGATGGGAAGAGGTAGACAAATACACACACTATGATAAGCAAGTAAAACCTCCACTGTAGCAACAGGTGCACGGCCCGTGACTCATCAACCTCAGACTCCTCCTCTCTAGTATCCTGCATCCACTGTTTGAAGATGTGATTCATCCTACCTGAGGATCTTGTGTTACTCAACAGATACCTTCCTCAAAAGTGATATGCAATTCTAATTTTAACTATACCCCAAGATTAAATGCCCTGGGAGGGTAGAGGGAGGTAGTAGAGGACTAACTGGTTAAATAAATTTTAGTTCATCTATCTAACAGAAGGCTGCAAAGCCCTAAAAAAATAATGAAGCAGTTCTCTCTAAAGGGGTATGAAACCATTTCCCAAATAAGTTGTTAACAATATAACTAACTGCAGAACAATGTGTATAGTGTGTTCCCATTTGGGAAAAAGGAGAAGAATGGGTACACACATGTGCTTACATTTGCACATATTCCCACGTAGAATTGAAGGATACGTGAGAAACCATTAACAATAAAACTTCTGAAGAGAAAACTGGATAGCTGGGCAGAAGGGAGGCCTATTTCTTATTGCACACCCTTTTATACCATTCCTTTTGTTTTCTAAAGTGCATAGATTACCATCTTGAAAATAAAGAAAAACTTTACATTAAAAAATAAAACATCCCACAATGAGCTCTTTGATGGGACAATTACAATTTGTCTGGGTGTGTCTGCTGGGAAACTTTGAAATTGTCATATCATTGCCTTGCTCAGACAGGCCCTGATCAGCAGTTTTCCAGTCACCACTCACTCAATTGTCCTTCCTCTCCCTGACAATCCTAAGAGCTCCTTGCAGCCAGGGAGCATCTCTATTTTTTTTTTCACTTTTCTTTTGCCTCCCTTGGCTGCATCTGGTTGAGAGGTCTGCGAATCAGAGTCAGTCATGGAATAGGGTGAATAAAAACAGCAGGTACCCAGTGCTCTGAAAGGAGCTGAGGTGGATTCCTACACATTAGTTACACCCTGTGGGACCTGTCTGCAGGAAACTCACAACACAGAGGAAAACACCAAAGGCCATTTTAAGCCAACTCAGCATCTTCCACTGCTCTGCATAGGCTTAAGTGAGAGTCAGTGGTATGGGCTGTGAATCAGAAGTCACTCCACTACTTGCTAGCTTTGTGGCTTTGGACAAGCTAATGACCCTCTCTGCACCTGGGCTTCCCCATCACCAAGCCCAGAAGATTGTATGTTAGTACCTGCATGTCATATACCTGGCACACAGAAGGTGTTAAGAAGTATTATTTCAGGCTGGCTGTGGTGGCTCATGCCTGTAATCCCAGCACTTTGGGAGGCTGAGGCAAGTGGGATCACCTGAGGACAGGAGTTCAAGACCAGCCTGGCCAACATGGTAAAACCCCATCTCTACTAAAAATACAAAAATTAGCCAGGCATGGTGGCGGGGGCCTGTAATCTCAGCTACTTGAGAGGCTGAGGCAGAAGAATCACTTGAACCAGAGAGGCAGAAGTTGCAGTGAGCTGAGATCATGCCATTGCACTTCATGCTGGGCACCAAGAGCAAAACTCCATATCAAAAAAAAAATTATATATATATATATATATATATATATATATATATATAATTTCATGTCCTTAGGTCCTTAGTTCCCTCCACTCCAGCTTCAGGTGTCCAGATACAGTTAAGTAGAGACAAACTAAACAAGGAGGAGGGCAGCAAATCTGTTTCTGCACTGGATATCCAGGAAAGAAAGTCAGTTCTCACCTTCCTCTGGAGAGTCCTCCTCTGTGTCCGCAGCCTTTGGCACCTCGTGGATCCCTGAAGAGAGAAAGAATGGTTAGTGGCACCAGTGCCCTGGACCCCATCCCTGACTAGGAGAAAAGTACAGGACTCTAGCTGGTTATAAGCCAGAAAAAGAAAACCCTCCAGTCAGCTCGTCTTGACTGGGGAGAGGCGGGATGGAGCAGACATGGAGGGCAGAAAGATCAGAGTCCAACCACCATCTCTGCCCCTCGCTATCTGTGCAAGAGATGGCAAGTCCTTGAACCCCTCTCGGCCTCAGTTTCCCCACCTAGAAAATGAGGAAAGTAATATCCACCCCACATTCAATAGTAAGCCAATGTAATGAGATGATGAATCTGAAGTGGCCAGGGAAAGGTGTGGCACACAGCTGTTATTAAGGGCTCTGTTCTGCCTCCATCCCTCAGGAGGTTCAGGGCCACAGAGGTCAGGTGTCTTTGAACTGGCTGCATGGCTGGGAAGGCGAGGGATAGGAGAAAATGTGAGTTTGCAATAAAAGGTAGAAGTGTAGCTTAAGCCATAGGACAGGGGAGCTGGGGTTGGCGGATGAAGGGCCAAGCGTCACAAGGGCTGTCCAAGGTCCTCTAAACAGGAGCAGTCCCCTGTGGGTTACCGTCTAACTTTAGATGCCAGCACCTACACCCCATTACACACAGACACACGCATCTCCACACCACAGTACCCAAGAGGAGGCCATATATCCAAACAGGACACATTCACATAAGTTTGGGGTCAACTTGCTGAACATTGGGAACAAGGTAAAGGTTGCCGGCAACCCTGAATCCTAATTTTCCTCATTCACTGCAGGCATGGTGCATTAGAAAAGCTTGCTCGTGAAACCCCACTCCACCTGTAATCACCCTTCTCCCCACTGCCTCCATCCCTCTACAGACAGGGGCAAGCCAGGCAAGAAGCCCTGCCAGATGCATGGAAAGCCTTCAGCACAAATGCTACCTGCAGCCTGTGTGTCCCAGAAGCCTGACACATGTCCACAGGCTGCTGTCACCAATCCTTACCTGTGAATTGATTGGGAGAGAGGGAAAAGGAGGGAGAAAAGCCAGAGACAACAGCCAAGACTGCTATAAACCGCCCTGTGTAGACTTACCCTCCACCTTCCTGAGGGACAAGGTCTGGATCTGCAAAGAGGTGGAACAGAGGAGGTTACAACCAGCAGAGAACGTTGTGAGAACTCTGCTTGGAGCAGTGTGTCTGCCTAGCACATTGAGGAAGGAATGGCTACTGATTCCATGCCTCCCACTGGGAACTGGAAGGAGCTCAGATGCACCATTCTAGCCCCCTGACACATCTCTGGGGTCCATGTGAGAAAGAGAATGGCAGCATGCTCCATTTTCCAAGATGGGGAAGCAAGAATGTCCCCTCTTCAAATAATTATAGCTCAAGGGCAGTAGTCCCATAGGAACAGAGTGGGACATGCACACAGTCGTTCCTATTGGTATAATTCATGGTAAACAGCCAGGGCAAGGGAGAGGCTCCCCTCCCACAGTGTGAGCCTCTGAACAGAGCACCCCTGGGAGGAAGGAGTCAGACATGACCCCGGACAGGAGGCCAGATGTAGACATGCACTGAACTGTCTATTCAACCACCCTGCTCCAAGAAGTTCCTCTTCCTTCCTCCTTCATGGCTGCAGGCAGGACAGCCACAGGTGAACAATGAGACTTCACACCACAGCCGCAGCCAACATCCAGGTTTGAGCAGAGAGCTCTGGACTGACAATGAATGAAGTCAAGAGCTGCTGGCAGCCAGCTGTTAACGGTTTTCTTGGTTTGTATATTTGTTTGTTTCACCACATGAAACAGATAAGAAGCAGAAGCTGATCTTCAGGGTAAAAGAAAAAAAAAATAAAGCAGTTATAGAGAAAGGAACAGAGACACACAGAAGAGGAAAACTGATGACCACTTCCATGTCTCTGGTTTCAGTTTATTCCCAGACTCAGCTGCTCCCCTGGCATGAGCTCTATGATATGCACCACCTACCCTTATGGCAAACTCCCTCTTTTGCTTAAGCTTAGGTCGCTTTTTATTACCTGCAGTGGTACATACTGACATCCAGTGTCCATTCTCCACTGTTGTCTCCTTTGCCTACCTCTACTCCAGACTGCAAAACTAAGTATTTACTTTCCCAGTCTTCTTTGCAGCTGTTGCTGCCCATGTGACACAGCTTTGCCCAGTAATATAGATAAAGAGAAGTCTTGGGAAGGGGCCTTTTCATCAACCTCCTCCACCAAATATGGTTGTAGGACTGGCACTACAGTAGCCTGCTTGCAACTATGAAAGTGAAGCAGGAAATAAAAGTCATCACACTGAAGATGGTCAAAAAAAAAAAAAACAAAAACCACAGGCTGTGTTCAAAATGGCACACTTCTGCTGCTAACCAAGGCTAGCAACTGTCACCTCTCTTGCTGTTATAATAAAAATAAGTCCCTATTAGCCTATTCTGTTATCTTTAGCCATTAGATTCCTAACTGAATCATTTGCAAACAAGAGTTCTGAGTAGCATACAGGACATTGCAGCCAGCAGGGAACACGGTGGAAACTCTGCTGTGGTTTCCTCCTTAGGAAACCTCCAGACTAGAGCTCAGTGCAGAGCTGAGCATTTGAGGTGGCGGGGTAACAGTGAAAAGTAGCAAGCGAGTGGGGTAGATATGCTGCCTGGGGGGGAATGTGGCTGGGAGTATAGAGAAGCACAAATAGCAACAGGTGCAGGAACAAGAGGCAGGGACTAGACAGTAACAGTGGGTGCTCAGCCCAGGGTAGCTGTGTGGAGCCTAGTCCATGAAGTGGATGGCAGCAGAGGAAGACGCAGATTTTCCACAGACCTGGGGCTCAGGAGGGAGAGCTAAGCCTGGACTGGACAGAGAATTGTCAGCAAGAGGTAAAGAGTCACAGGGGCCAGCTTGAGGAGAAAAGGCGCTAAGTGAGTGCCTTTTCATCACACCGCTTTATCTCTAACCTCATCAGATGCTGTTCATTTATGAAAAGGTACTGGCTAAGGAATTATGCCTGAGAACACTGTGCAAAGAACACAATCTTTGTGTTCTTCCTGCCTGGCTAGGGTTGACTCTCATCACAGAGTGCCCCATGAGGACTTGAGCGAGGGACTTGCCTTCTCCAGCGTATTTCATCATCTGTCAAATGAAGATGGGGAGAAGGGGATGCCTACCTTGAAGTATAGTAGTGAAGCTTAAATGAGGTAATAAGCAAAGCATAAGTGAGGCACTGAGCATTTTATATGGTCTCTGCTGTTAGAGTGGCCCCTTCTGCCAGCAGCCCCTAAGGAGGTGGCACATCTTCAGCCTGGAAGGAGGAAGTTACAGCCTTATCATTTTGTGTCCTTCATGCCAGAGGACTTTTCTCTCTCCTTAAGAAGGCTGAGTAGTAAGACTAGCATTGATGAGCCGAGAAGAATCCAAGGAGATCCTCACAGGATAGAGGCCCAAGGACACCAAGGCCTGGCTGAAAGGAGGGACAGACCTACCATCTCCTCCTGGGAGGCAATGATCCTAGCTTGTTCCTGCAGCTGGGCACGGAGGGCGCTGATCTGGCGCTGGGACTGGGCAGCTGCCTTCTTCTGATCCTGAGACAGGGAGGCCTGGAGCCTCTGGTTCTCCTCCTGTAGCTGGCGGGCACAGGATGGCCGGTCACTGAAATGTCTGCAGGGACATCTGAGTGCCCCGTGTCCGCAGGGCCAGCACCTGTAGGCATGTGCTGGGCAAGGGTTTCACTTCAAGCACAGTAAAGGATTTGGAGACCAGGACAGGCTTTCTAACAAGAGTACCGTCCAGTCTGGGGACATTTTTGTGCTGTGCCTGAGGAGAAGTAAGAATAGAATGCAGGCCTTTAAGACCAGGAGAGAAAGGGCTGTCTGTGAGATGTAGCCACCCACTGAGGAACAGTCAGGTAAATTAAGACCATTCGAAAATCATCAAATGGATGCTTTTAGGTGAAAACAAGAGGTGAAGAAAACGATTTAACATGCTACTTCTGATGTAAGAGCAGAGATAAAATGAAAATATTTATTAATATTTGCATAAAGAAACTTCAGAAGAACACAAAAGAAAGCCATAAAAGTCACCTGAGCAGTGGGTGTTGGGGACAGGTAGATGGTTACAGGTGGGAATTAGACTCTACTCAATATATCTTAATCTATTTCTCCTGTTTTGGGAACAAATGTGAATGTATTTCCCATTTGAAAATGCTTCAGATAAAATAAAACCATAGCATGTGTCCCTATACCGGAGTGAGGAATGTCTACCACAGGCCAGACTGATCTAAGCCTTTTCATCTTCTAAGCTTTTTGCATGCAGAATTCTGGGGCTCTTATGAACCAGCTTTCTCCTCAACTTGCCTCCTGCTCAGGGCATTTTTACAGAAGCTGTTCGCTCTGCCCTGAAGCCCACTGCTCCCTGTTTGCCGTTCTCAGTATTTGAGTAAGGACTCCCTTTGGACTCCCACTGAACTATCACTGAGGCCCACTGGTTCTCTCCTGGGTGGGAAAGTTTCAAAGAAGAGCCAAAACATGAAACCACCAGGTGATTCATCTGGGGCTTATGGCACAACCCTCCCTGGAGGGCCTAAAGGGGTCACTGCAAAGAAGACCACAGGATAAAGGATATGTTCAGTTCAGAGGAGAAGGCCTGGAGGCCCCTGCTCCTGGCCAGGGAAGCTGCTGGATGGGCAGCTAACCTCTTCTGTGTCCTGATGGGAATGGTAACCAGGAGCAATATCTGCAGCAGAGTATCTGCCATCCAGTTCCAGGTGAGATAGTGGAGATGGTGGGTGAGTCGGGGGTGGAGAATACTGAATTCTGAGAGGTCACAGGAAACTAAACTTCCTGAGATCACCCAACAAGAACTACCTCTCTCTTCTCAGCCACATGCTCTTCGTGCAGTTCCTTCATTTTTCTCTTCCACTCCATTTTCTGAAAAAGATTAAAAGCTTATCAATTGGGCCCTTACAGGTATTAAAACATGTTATAAAGCTATAGGAAGTTAAAAGTACTGGCTCATGGGTAAGCAGACAGAGTAGTGAAATAGAATAGAAAATCCAGACTAAAGATGGAAATAAACGGAAACTAAGGGGAAGGAGATGGATTATTGACTTATGGCGTTGGAACAAATGGCTACCTGCCTGGAAGAAAATAGGAAGCTGGATCCTTATTTCACATCTTAAACCAAAATAAATTCTAGGTGGGTCAAAGATTTAACACAAAAAATAAGGCCATAAAAGGACTAAAAAAAAACCACAGGAATGTTGTCTTTTTCAATCTCAGAGTGAGGAAGACCGTAAAGAAAGATTAATAATTGGATAATTTTTACTACATAAACATAATTCATTGTTGTATGGCCAAGCCAGAATCAACAAAATTGAAAGACCAACAGAATACTGGGGAAAATAACCACAAATAGAAAAACAAAGGGCTGAGTTAATTTCTATACATTAAACAAACTCACAAATTTGTCAATTAATAGAAAAACAGGGAAAGAATGTGAACAAAACTCTTGGGAAAAGAATGGCTTCTTTATTTTTTTTGTTTTGTTTTGTTTTAGGAAGGGAGGAAGGGAGGAAGGCAGGAAGGGAGGAAAGGAGGAAGGGAGGGAGGGAGGAAGGAAGGGAGGGAGGGAGGGACAGAAGGGAAGGAAGGAAATCAGGCAATGAGAGAGACATTGCCGACCTGGATCTAGAGGTCTACAAGTTGATTTCTTTTTTTCTTTTTTTGAGAGAAGGAAAGAAAAAAAAGGAGTGAAGGAGAGGAATAAAGAAGAAGAAGAGGAAGGGAATGGAAATGTTGCTTTATTCTTAAAAAAATGGGTATTAATAATGGCCAATCAATATTTCATTTAAACCTATGAGTAGGTGTGACGTGGTATTGACAAGAATGTATATTTTGTGTATTTAAAGTGGAGAGCTCTATAAATATTTATTAAGTTTACTTGTTCCGGATCTGAGTTCAAGTCCTTGATATCCTTATTAATTTTCTGCCTCATTGAGTCTAAGTCTCTATGTATCTGGGTGTTAGGATCATTAGCTCTTGTTGTTGCATTGATCCTTTTACCACTGTATCTTTGTTGCTTTAAAATCTATTTTATCAGCTACGAGAATTGCAACTGCTTTTTATTTATTTGTTTATTTTTGCTCTCCATTTGGTTGGTAAATCTTTCTCCATCCCTTTGTTTTGAGTCTTTGTGTATCCTTGCATGTGAAACAGGTCTGGATGTAGCATACCGTTGGGTTTTGGTTGTGTCTTTTGATTGGGGGATTTAGTTGATTTAAATTTAGGATTACTGCCATTTGATGTTAACTGGCTGTTTTATCCATTTGTTGATGTAAATTCTTCTTTATGTTGATGCTCTTTACTTTTTGGTATATTTTTAGAAAGGCTAATACTGGTTGTTTCTTTCTATGTGTAATGCTTCTTTCAGAAGCTCTTGTAAAGCAGGCCTGGTGGTAATAAAATCTCTGAGTACTTGCTTGTTCATAAAAGATTTTATTTTTCCTTCAGTTGTGAAGCTTAGTTTGGCTGGATATGAAATTCTGGACTGAAAGTTCTGTTCTTTAAGGATGTTGAATACCGGGCCCCACTCTCTTCTGGCTTGTAGAGTTTCTGCTGAAAGATCTGCTGTGAGTCTGATAGGCTTCCCTTTGCGGGTAACCTGACCTTTCTCTCTGGCTGCCCTTAGTATTTTTCTCCTTCATTTCAACCCTGGTGAATCTAACGATTATGTGCCTTGGGGTTGCTCTTCTTGAGGAATATCTTTGTGGTGTTCTCTGTATTACCTGGGGTTGAATCTTGTCCTGCTTTGCTAGTTTAGGAAAATTTTCCTGAATAATATCCTGAAGAATATTTTCCAGCTTGGATTCATTATCTCCGTCACATTCAGGTACACCTATCAAACGTAAATTTGGTCTTTTCACATAGTCCCACATTTCTTGGAGACTTTGCTCATTCCTTTTTATCCTTTTTTCTCTAATCTTGTCTTCTCATTTTATTTCATTAAGTTGGACTTCAACCTCTGATATCCTTTCTTCTGCTTGAACAATTCGAGTGTTTAAACCTGTGCATACTTCTCGGAGTTCCTGTATTGTATTCTTCATTTCCATTAATTCACTTATATTCCTCTCTAAGTTGTCTATTCTCATTAGGATTTCATCAAACCTTTTTTCAAAGTTCTTAGTTTCTTTACATTGGGCTACAACATGTTCTTTTAACTCACAGAAGTTTCTTATTATCCATCTTCTGAAGCCTGATTTTGTTAATGGGATGCGCTCATTCTCCATCAACCCTTGTTCCCTTGTTAATGAGGAAATGTGGAGAGGCATTCTGATTTTGAGTATTCTCAGCCTTTTTAAGTTGGTTTCTTCCCATCATTGTAAATTTATCCATCTGTCATCTTTGTAATTACCAACTTTCAAATTAGGTCTCTGAGTGGACTTCCAAGTTGTTAATTCCCAGGGCCAAAATACGAGCAACCCACTGCGCTGGCCAAAACAGTGGCGTTAAGACTAACGGTGCTTTTCTGCCCGGGAATCTCCAGTCTGGCTTCCTTCTTGAGTCTGTAATAGGCTACTCTGCCTTCCCGGAGCTCCAAACCTCGGTCAGAAGGGGAACCAGTCCCGTTTACTCTGCACCAAGAGCTGCCTCACCAAGGTGCCGGCAAAACTGCTGCGCTGGCCACAAGAGTCGCACTGGCGACCCATGCGCTCCTCCACTGGGAATCTTCTGCTCCGTGAGCGACCAAAATTTGTCTGAAAGTGTGGCATCCTCTTGTTCTCTGTGCTTTCACTGGGAGCTGCAATCCTGAGATGTTAGCGATCAGCCATCATGGATCGTTCCCAAGAATGGCTTCTTTATAACATGAAACCTGTAAAACATCAATCAGCAGTTCTGCTGATTGTTAGCTAGACTTCATGGTTTTTTTTTTCCCCAAGAATCTTGGAGAGCAGAAAGAGAAGCACAACATGATTTAACAACTATACTGATTCCCCTTCTTTGCCATGGAATTATCAGTGATATAGATCATTTTACAAGCAGACTGCAGTAAAATTCATCCAGGGTCGGCCAGAGCCACCTCCTACCAACCTGTGAAAGCAGACTGTGCACAAGTCCTCCCGGCTCCATTTGGTGACCTCACACATAGCATGAAATTGGCCACGGTGGAAATATTTACACCATGGAAATTGGCAAATGCTACAAATTAAAGCTTTTTAGTTCCAGAGAGCTGGCTGCTAAACAACTATCGTCACAACACTGAATGTATCCCAAATATCTTCCAATCCAAGAGACTGTCACACTTTCTAAGAGTTGTTTTCAACTGAGTTGCAATCAGAATGGGGCAAAGGTATCAAATAAGAGACAGAGCTGTATGTATTTTTCAAAAGATCTTAGGCAAATCTAACATTGCACACATACCACCAGCCTCACCTGCAAACCCTATTCCCATGTATCGGCAGAAGATCTAAAAATATAGAACTTTGATGTCCTTCAACTTCTCTACATTCATAGAATACAAATGAAAGAATATATTGGAAATTAAGATAGCTCTTGGCTTCCTGTGAGAAGAAGGGCATGGAGCATCAGGTCACCTGAATTTCTGTCTTCTCTCTCAGGGCCTGAAGCTCCCGTGCCTGATGGAGCCACTCCTCAGACTCCTCATTTCGCAGTGATCCCAGGTTGGATTCCATCACACTGTGGGACTGCAGCGCCCGCAGTTTCTGAAAAGGCCAGGGCATAGTTTTATTCAGATGAAGATCTAATCATGATGTTGTCTGTTATACAGACAGTGTCAGGGTGCATGCCTTACCCAACTCATCCTCCCAATTCATTCTCACTGGATACTTACACACCAACAAATATTCATACAAATCAGCCCCCTTCATGAAGGCTCTCCTGGGGGATCAGCCCTAGCACAGAAAAAGCAAGTTGCATGGAAGAATAAATTAAAGAGTGTAGTTTCCTTTTCACTTAAATTCTAGTATACTCAAAATCCCAAGATCTTCTGACTGCTGCCCCATTTCTTCCTCAGTCTGGAATAAACTGATGAGAATCAGACTCTTAGAGCCTGTGGGAGGATCTCAGGTACCCCAGGCCACTCCCTGAGGACTCCTCCCTCTCTCCCTATAAAACATCCTGGCTGTCTCCAGAAAGGAATTTGTACAACTTGGAGTAGAGTCATCAACACCTGTTGATTCCTGGGCTAGCAGTGTGTGCCTGAAGGAAAAGGCACAGAAAACTGGATCAAAGAGAGGATGCCTTTCCACCCACGTATGATTATTTCTTAAAATATATGACTGTTGAAGTAACAAAAGCAACATATTTCCATCTGTATGACTGTATAAAACTCATAAGCCCTGCCGGGCATGGTGGTTCACGCCTGTAATCCCAGCACTTTGGGAGGCTGAGGCAGGCAGATCACCTGAGGTCAGGAGATTGAGACCAGCCTGGCCAACATGGTAAAACCCTGTCTCTACTAAAAATACAAAAAACTAGCTGGGCATGGTAGCATGCGCCTGTAGTCCCAGTTACTCCAGAGGCTGAGGCAGGAGAATCAGTTGAACCCATCTGGGAGGTGGAGGTTACAGTGAGCCAAGATCATACCACTGCACTCCAGCCTCGGTGACAGAGCAAGACTCCATCTCAACAACAACAACAACAACAACAACAAAACTCATAAGCCCTATTAAGGCTTTAAAGAATGGCAAACACCTAAGTTTAACTTGGTATCATTCTTGCTAACATTTCTTAACTATTGCTAAGCAATACTGGTTCCAAACATTAACCATTTCTAAACGCCTTGAAGTTTGATCAGATGTATGCACAATTCCCAAGTTCTGATGCAGCTTATGACACACCACAGAGCTGACTTTCTTGGCATTACAAATCCTCATGGTATTTTGATTTAGCTAGAAACTCCTTTGGCATTTCAATTTACCCTAGGTCTAACCTAAAGTTCTCTCTTTAGTCTGGTAACTTAGCCAAAGTAAGTTCCATACTTCTGTATCAGGGGAAAAGTTTTGAGGAAAAAAATATTTTCAAAATATATATAGTTTTCGGGGGGGGGAAGCAAAAGAAAAATAATAAAAATAAATTTAAAAAAAAAATATATATATATACATATATTTAGTTTTCATTGGCCTTCCTAACATCAGCAAATAGCTTTTAAAAAAACTTTTAAAAAGAAAGTAATAGGGGTCTGTTGGGGGGGAACAGGGGAGGGACCGTGGCAGGAAGGGAGGTTGGGGAGGGATAACATGGGGAGAAATGCCAGATATTGGTGATGGGGGGATGGAGGCAGCAAACCACACTGCCATGTATGTACCTATGAAACAATCCTGCATGTTCTGCACATGTACCCCAGAACCTAACGTGCAATAAAAAAAAAATATATATATATATATATAAAAGTAATAAACTAGTGATGCAACTATTTTGAGAATGGTATGGTTGATTGCTAAGAAGATTAAAAGTTAGTGTATATAAAGTATACTGCACAGGAGCTGGAAAATAGCAAACACAGTCCATAAATGTTAGGTATTATGCGTGATCTCTGAAGACCTCAACAGAGTGTCTGGCATGTAACCAGGATTCAGGGAATATTTGTTGGAAGAAAAATGCATTCATTTAAATTTCACCCCATTTCTTGTCCAGTGATGAAAGCCCTTTGCAAAAATAAGGATAATATCTAGAGATATTACTATATACCGGATATACTACTGATATATTACTATATGCCAGATTATGTTACATACTGTTTATGTACTAATTTAACCCTTTCAGCAGCCAATCTTATAGAAATAAAACTGAGGGATGAGGAGGTTAACTAATTCATTCAAGGTCTCACAATCAGTATGTGACAGAGCAGTGATTGAATCCCAGGCCTGATATCTGGGTCTTTAATATCAGGCCTCTGATAACTGGCCTCACAGTATTTTAGCTTCCAGCAGCAGTGAAATAAAACTAGTACAAACAAAGAAATAAATTTTGAGAATAAGCAGATATCCAACAAAGGAACTTTCAAAAGCCTTTTCTATTGGGTACCTCTTCTAGTGAAGAGTTCTGGTTGGCGACATTTTTAAATTCATCCCAAAATATTTTTTTTAGTTTGTCTATTTCCCCGTAAAGTTTGGTCCACTCTTGTTGTTTCCATTCATCAAATTCTTTCTTAGCTTCTATTTCTCTCTGATGAATGATCTCTGCTTCCTACAAAGAAGAGCAAGAACAATAAGATGATTAATTCCACATTACAACAAATATTTACTAAGAATCTGCTTAGGCCTCCTTATCTGTGCAAGTCACTATGGAGACCCAAAGAACATTCATCCCATAGTTCCTATAGTTTGGAGCTGGAAGGACCAGTCTAAGCCAGTCTTACCTGAACTGTAAAGTCCACTGAGGATAGGGACTTGTTCCTTTTTCTCTATGCAGGCATACATCTGAGATATTACAGGTTCAGTTCCAGACCACCACAATAAAGTGAGTACCATAACAAAGCAAGTATCACAATAAAGCAAGAATGTCATATAAATATTTTTGTTCTTCAGTGTATATAAATGTTATGTTTACACTAGACTGTAACCTATTAAGTGTTCCATAGGTTTATGTATAAAAACAATGTACATAACTTAAAACTACTTTATTGCTTAAAAACAAAGAGAAATAGCTAGGACCTAATGAAACTAAAGAGCCTTTGCACAGCAAAAGGAACAGTCAGCAGAATAAACAGACAACCCATAGAGTGGGAGAAAATCTTCACAATCTATTCATCTGACAAAGGACCAATATCCAGAATCTACAACGAACTCGAACAAATCAGTAAGAAAAAAACAAACAATCCCATCAAAAAGCAGGCTAAGGACATGAATAGACCATTCTCAAAAGGGATATACAAATGGCCAACTATGTATGAAAAACTGCTCAAGATCACTAATGATCAGGGAAATGCAAATCGAAACTACAATGCGATACCACCTTACACATGCAAGAATGGCCATAATCAAAAAATCGAAACACAGTAGATGTTAGTGTGGATGAGGTGATCAGGGAACACTTCTACACTGCTGGTGGGAATGTAAACTAGTACAGCCACTATGGAAAACAGTATGGAGATTCCGTAAAGAACTAAAACTAGAACTACCATTTGATCTACCAATCCCACTACTGGGTATCTACCCAGAGGAAAAGTCATTGTTGGAAAAGATACCTGCACACATGTTTATAGGAGCACAATTGACAAGTGCAAAATCGTGGAACCAATCCAAATGCCCATGTAGATAAAGAAACTGTGGTGTATAGATAGATAGATAGATAGATAGATAGATAGATAGATAGATAGATAGATAGACACACACGATGGAATACTACTTAGCCATAAAAAGAAATAAATTAACAACATTTGCTCATTTGCAGGGATCTGGATGAGATTAGAGACTATTATTTTAAGTGGAATAACTCAGGAACAGAAAACCAAACATCGTATGTTCTCACTGATATGTGGGAGCTAAGCTATGAGGATGCAAAGGCAAAAGAATGATAGACTTTGAGGACTTTGGGGACTTGAGGGGAAGAGTGGGAGGGGCGTGAGGGGGAAAAGATAACAAATACGGTGCAGTGTATACTGTTCAGTGATGCGTACACCACAATCTCACAAGTCACCACTAAAGAACTTACTCATGTGACCAAATACCACCTGTACCCCAATAACTTATAGAAAATAAAAAATAATGATAATACAATTTTTTTTAAATATCGCTAAAAAATGCCAACAACCGTGTGATCCCTTAGTGAGTCATAATCTTTTTGCCGGTGCTGGGTCTTGCCTTGATATTGATGGCTGCTGACTGATCAGGGTTGGGGTGCTGTGGCAATTTCTTAAGACAACAACAGGCCAGGCATGGTGGCTCACACCTGTAATCCCAACACTTTAGGAGGCAGAGGCGGGTGGATCACTTAAAGTCAGGAGTTCAAGACCAACATGGCCAACAGAGCAAAACCCCTGTCTACTAAAACTACAAAAAATTAGTCAGGTGACTGGCACGTGCCTGTAATTCCAGTTACTAGGGAGGCTGAGGCAGGAGAATCACTTGAACCCAGTAGGCGAAGGTTGCAGTGAGCTGAGATCATGCCACTGCACTCCAGCCTGGATGACAGAGCAAGACTCTGTCAAAAAAAAAAAAAGACACCAATGAAGTTTGCCACATCAATTGGTTCCTCCTTTCATGAAAGATCTCTCCATAGCATGAGATGCTGTTTGGTAGCATTTGACACACAGTAGAATTTCTTTCAAAATCAGAGTCAATTCTCTTAAACTTTCCTGCTGCTTTCTCAACTAAGTTTATGTAATATTTTAAATCCTTTCTTATTATTTCAACAATGTTCACAGCATCTTCAACAGTAGTAGATTCCATCTCAAGAAACTATCTGGGGGGCAGTGGGGAGCAACTGGGCCACACAGGGGGCCTGGGCTTCACCCTCACACTGGCCCACCAGCCCCAGGACGTTTTCCTCGTGATCTGGCGCCATAAGACCACCATCTTCACAGACGCCAAGGAATCCAGCAGGATGTTCAAGCTGAAGCGCAACGTCGAGGGCATCCTCAAGTGGCTGCCCGAAGAGCAGCGCTATACAAAGATGACCAACTCTTGGATGATGGCAAGACACTGGGTGAATGTGACTTCACCAGCCAAACAGCATGGCCACAGGCCCCAGCCACAGCAGGGCTGGCCTTCCGGGTGGATGACACCTTTGGGGCCCTGTGCATCGAGCTGTTCTACAGCCCACCCAAGCTGCCCAATGTGATGAAGCCCCAGGACTTGGGAAGCAGTGCCAATGAACAAGCTGTGCAGTGAGGACCCCCAAGAGGCCCATTCCCCCCAATAACAGAGATTTGGGGGAAAAAAGAACTATTTTATTTGCTTATCCATAAAAAACAACTCTTCAACTATTAAAGTTTTATCATGAAGTCACAGCAATTCAGTCTCATCCTCAGGCTCCACTTCTAAGTCTAGTTCTCTTGCTATTTCTACCACATTTGCAGTTACTTCCTCCACTGAGGTCTTGAATCCCTCAAAGTCATCCACAATGGCTTGAATCAATTTCACCCAAACTCCTGTTAATGTTACTATTTTGACCTCCCCCAAAGAATCACACATTTTTTTAATAGCATCCAGAATGGCAAATCCTTTCCAAAAGGTTTTCAATTTACTTTGCTCAGAATCACTGTCTATGACAGCTATAACCTTATAAGATGTATTTCTCAAATAATAAGACTTGGAAGTCAAAATTACTCCTTGATTTATGGGCTTCAGAATGGATATTGTGTTAGCAGGCTTGAAAACAATACAAATCTTGTACATCTCCATCAGAGCTCTTAGATAACCAGGAACATTGTCAATGAGCAGCAATTATTCTGAAAGGAATCTTTTTGTTAGCAGTAGATCTCAACAGTGGGCTTAAAATATTCAGTAAACCATGCTGCAAACAGCTGTGTTGTCATCCAGACTTTCTTGTTCCATTGTTAGAGCACAGGTAGAGAGAGCTAGCATAACTCTCAAGGGGCTTAGAATTTTCACACTGGCAAATAAACATTGGCTTCAACTTAAAGTCACCAGCTGTATTAGACCCTAACAAGAGAATTATCCTGTTCTTTGAACTTGTGAAGCCAGGCATTGACTTATCTCTAACTACAAAAGTTCTAGATGGCTTCTTCCAATAGAAGGTTGTTTTTCCTACACTGAAAATCTGTTTAGTATAGTCACCTTGATCAAATATCTTAGTTAGATCTTCTAGATAACTTGCTACAGCTTCTACATTAGCACTTGCTGCTTCACCTTGCACTTTCATTGTTATGGAGATGGTTTCTTTCCTTAAACCTATGAGCCAACCCCTATTAGCTTCCAACTTTTCTTCTGCAGCTTCTTTGCTTCTCTCAGCCTTCATAGAAATGAATAGAGTTAGGACCTTGCTCTGGATTAGGCTTTGTCTCAAGGGAATTTTTTGACTGATTTGATATTCTATACAGACCATTAAAACTTCTCCATCTCAGTAATAAGGCTGTTTCACTTTCTTGTCATTTGTGCATTCAGTGGAGTAGTGCTTTGAATTTCTTTCAAGGCACAACTTTGAAATTCTTAACTCTGTATTTATAACCTGGCTATTTGGCACAAGAGGACTACCTCTCAGCCCATCTCAGCTCTCAACATGCCTTCATCACTAAACTTAATTATTTCTACCTTTCAATTTTTTTTTTTTTTTTTTTTTTTTGAGACAGAGTCTTGCCCTGTCATCCAGGATGGAGTGCAATGGCATGATCTCGGCTTGCTGCAACCTCCGCCTCCCGGGTTCAAACAATTCTCCTGCCTCAGCCTCCCGAGTAGCTGGGATTACAGGTGTATGCCACCACACTCAGCTAATTTTCGTATTTTTAGTAGAGATGGGGTTTCATCATGTTGGCCAGGCTAGTCTCAAACTCCTGACCTCATGAACCACCCACTGCAGTCTCCCAAAGTGCTGGGATTACAGGCATGAGCCACCACACCCAGCCCTACCTTTTGATTTAAAGTAAGAGATGTTTGATTAAGTTTGCTATCTTATATGGACAGTTTGTAGCACCCCAAAACAATTACAATAGTAACATCAAAGATCACTGATCACAGATCCCCATAACAGATATAATAATAATCAAGAAGTTTGAAATATTGTGAGAATTACCAAAATGTGACACAGACACATGAAGTGAGCACATGCTGTTGGAAAATGATGCTGATAAATTTGCTCAACACAGGGTTGTCACAAACCTTCAATGTGCAAACAATACAATGTGAAACACACAAAAAATGAGGTATGCCTGTATTGGTCACAATACCAACTATGCAGCTGGTGCTCAATAAATGCATGCTGAGGGAATGAATAATGAAGGAATGAGCAGGGCAGCTTCACATATTTTCATTCTACAAACATTTACTGAGCATTTTATCTGGGCTGGGTTCTGGAGCTTTCAGAATCAAACCCAGTCTTTGTCCTCAAAAAGTTAACTAACAGTGTTGTGTACAAAGCTAAACTTCAGGTTCAAACATCCTCAGAGGCTGCTGACTAATGCAGGAAACTGCATCTCTCTGCTCTACTTTCGTCCATAAAAGTCTGGCAAAAAAAAATTCAATTTTCCTTTCCAGACTACCTAAAATCATTTGCTGTGTCCAAGAAGGCATTATCTGTCCCAGCTCTGATTCCCAGCTCTGGGAAACCAGATGGAAATTTTGCCCTGTGGGATTCATGTGCATCAGGGGCCTCCTGGGATGCCCCACATCTCCCTGTAGTTTTTTCTCCCTGCCCACCTGGAGCTGCCGCTGCCTCTCCGCCTCCCTCTGGGCTTCCAGCTCCCCTTGGGTCCACTTTAGCTTGGCCCGTAGCTCTTCTAACACCTCTTCCACTGGCTGTTCTTGCTTCTTCTGTTTTCCTGTGGGGTCCATGCAAAGACAGGGTGACCAGTTTAAGTCCAAAAATCAAGGGAGTGTAGTTTCTCACCTCGTCAATCAGCCACACCTCGGCCTGAAACCAGCTTTGCTACTTAGTACACTGACTTTGGACAAAGAACGTAACCTCCCTGTCCCTCTGTTTCCCCAAACTCAAAAATAGAGATAACAATAGCACCTAACTCAGAGGGCTGCTGTGAGGATGAAATGTGAGAATGCAAAGTGCTTAGCATAGTGCCTGGCACGACAGCTCAAAAAATGTGAATTATTATTATACTGTCACTTAAAATAAGTATTTTGACAGTACTGATGCATGGAAATAGAAATTTAAAATTACTACAGTAACAGAAGCAGAATACCAAATAGTGTGTACACCAATTATCAGTACAAAAACATATCCATATATCCTGACAGTAATCAGAGATAATTTTAAAGTAATAAAAATCATTGTAGTTTTAAGTTCACTTTTTTCAATAAGTGTATAGTTTAAATTTCAAATGAAAAAAAAAAAGCAGCATGTATTATAAAGAACCAAAGCTACTTTTAAGTGCATACTTTAAATTATTTAAGTGAAGAAAAGGATTCAGGATGAATTATAGAAACATCCTAACTAAACCACATATTGATGATAAAGCAAGGGCTAAGAGTCAAAAAAGAAGCCAATTTTTCTTGAACATCTGTTAACTTCTTAAAGCATACTTAGTGATTACTAGATAAATAGTACTGTTATTAAAGTTCTAAGCCTTTTCTTTGAAAAGGGATGTGACTTTTCTCTCAGGGTGGACATTTTACAAACAAGCAATTTTTAGTTGCAGTAGAAATTAATTTGCCTTAATGACATGATTTGAGGTGACTGTGGAATAGGAGACCTGGGCATCTGGGAAGTCAGCTGCCTGCAAGTAAAGAGGCCATGATATAGCAAAAGTGACCTTAAGAACACATTTCTCTCTCCTTACAGCACTTTACATTAAGGAAATAAGAGATACACGCAAAGATCTACATGGAAGAATATCAACCATCATGTGATTTATAATAAAGAAATGTTGGGGTAAGCATATATTCAACAGGAAGAAATTGTGAAATAAATTATGAAAACCACTTGATGAAATACTATTCAGGCATTAAAAATCACATTTTCAAAGGTAATTTAATGACACTGGAAAATGCGACATATTCTTAAATGAAAATAAGCAGTAGTCAAAGTGCACACTATTTTATTATATATGTCTACAGAGAATACACCAAAATATTAACTGCTGGTGATATTGTCCATGGTTTTTATATTCTCTTTTCTACTTTCCTGTATTTAAATTTTCTAAGTCAGAGACATATTTTTATTCAAAAAAAAATTTAAGGTGTAGAAAATTTATTTATCCTTATCCTCCAATGCAGAACTAAGAAGAATTAGATATGCACTAAATGCATAATAATCAGGTAAGTGGTACTGTTTTAAAACTCAATCTGTTCTATGAAAAGGGAATTTGAATGACAAAAAATAGGAGAAAAAATTTTACTTAATGGCATTTTTATATTTATATTTATTTTAGGTTTTAACAGATACTTCTTACTGAACCTCGAAAAGTGAATATAGGTTGAGTGCAGTGGCTCATGCCTGTAATCCTAGCACTTTGGGAGGCCGAAGCAGGTAGATCACTTGAGCCCTGGAGACTGGCCTGGCCAACATAGTGAGACCTCATCTCTAGGAAAAATTTTTAAAATTAGCCAGGCATGGTGGTATGTGCCTGTAGTCCCAGCTACTCAGGAGGCTGAAGTAGGGGGATTGCTTGAGCCCAGGAAGTGGAGGCTGCAGTGGAGCCAAGATCAAGCCGCTACACTTGAGCCTGAGTGAAAGAGTGAGACACTGTCTCAAAAAAAAAAAAAAGTGAATGTAAAATATGCAAATCTCTTTGTGGGGAAAACATACAGCCTTGCTCCTCATTTTGGAGTTTGTAAAATTAAAGTGATTAAGTCATGATAAGCTCAGGTATGTAGAAAAGTCAAAGAACTGGTCTGACTGCCCATTCGCCCCATTTAAGCTTATTCATGGCTGGCATCAGAGAATTGCAGATTTGCAGAAGGCTGGAAGGTAAGAGCCCTTCAAAGTCACTTCATCTGACTGTGCCACTTACAGTGAAGGCCACTGAGACACAGAGGGGAAAGCATTGACCAAAGTCACACAATAAATACAGAAAAAGCTAAGAGTGACATCTACCTGTCTGACTCCCAGCCCTTCTTTACACATGGGGTGAGAAACCCTTCCAACCCATGTGGACTCTCCGGGTGGTGGATGGTGGGATCATCCCATCCCCAATTGGAAAGTGAGATTCTGAGAGCAGTTTTGGGTGGTATAGGTAGTTGTCACCCACTTAATACCAGCCCCAGGCCCTTCCACAGTCCCTGAAGGGGCCCAGGCTGCTGTCTGGACTCACCTTCTGAGTCCAGTCCTGCATGCCTACGCTGGATGTGGCCCCGGAGAAAGGTGGCATTCATGAATGTCTTGTCACACAGGTGGCACTATACAGAGAGGAAGGAATGGGGAACTGGATTAGGTCAACTGAGTCAGCCTTGGATTTTCCCTATATCAAAGCCCCCATCCCCTTGGGACCCGTGAGCTGCTTCAGAAATAAAGAATTTAATTTACTGAGCAAGGGAATGATGTCAGCCCATGCTGCCCACTAGAATCACCTGGGGAGCTTTAAAATACTTCCACTGCCCCGGGAAACTGTGAACACTGACTAGATATTTGATGATGCTCAGGAATTTCTGTTGCTTTTTCAGAGTGTGATGATGGTGTCTGTCTATGTTTAAAAGTCAGAGTCTTTCCCTTTTAGAGATACAAATAGAGATATTGAAATATTACAAATAAAATCATATTACTAATATGCTTCAAAATAATCCAGAAGTGGGGGAAAGTAGGCAGAGGGACAGGTGCAATAACACTGGCTATAGGTTGATAACTGTTAGTGCCTAGGGTTCATTACACTATTCTCTCTACTATTGCATATGTTTGAAATTTTTTATAATAAAAAATTGTTTTAAAATGCCAATGTCTAGGTTCCACCCAAGGGTGGAGAATCACCGAGGCAAAGGTTAGCAAATAAACAGTACCTGCACTTCCACATCCCTCGCCTAAGACATTTCAGACATGACCAATCTATCATACTGTCTTCTCACTGTAAAATTTCAGGATTCTTCTCAACACAGCTTTGGAGGCTGCCTTGCTAGTTAATCAGTTATAGGCAGATTATTTGCTATCTTTGCAGACAATTGTGACAGGAATTGCCAGTTGTCCCCCAATACCCACTTTCCCTTTCTTCCTTGGTAATAGTCCTGTGGTCAATGAGAATAAACACTCTATGTCCCAGCCTTCCTAGGAACCAGGTGTGTCAATAGGACTTAATACTAAAAAGGGTTCTGACCCTTTTAATCATAAATATCATATCAATTATATCAGTTTGTTATAAATTAATAATATATCAAAATGATTCCTTCTGTCCTACTGTGATATTGTGATGTAATAAGAATGTAGGCTGGGCACAGTGGCTCACACCTACAATCCTAGAACTTTGGGAGACTGAGGTGGGCAGATCACTTGAGCCCAGAAGTTCGAGACCAGACTGGGCAACTTAGAGAAACCCTGTCTCTACAAAAAACACAAAAAATTAGCCAAATGTGGTGGTGTCTGTAGTCCTAACTACTCAGAAGGCTGAAGTGGAAGGATCACCTGAGCTTGGGAGGTTAAGAGTGTGGTGAGCCATGATCACACAGCAGCCTCGGTGACAGAGATCCCGTCTCAAAAAAAAAAAAAAAAAGAAAGAATGGCAGGGAGCTCCTAAAACACTTACAACAACCTTGTCCAACCTGCAGCCCATGGGCCACATATGGCCCAGAACAGCTTTGAATACACAAATTTGTAAACTTTCCTAAAGCATTGAGATTTTTTTAGGAATTTTTTTTAAGCTCATCAGCTATCACTAATGTTACCGTATTTTATGTGTGGCTGAAGACAGTTCTTCCATTGTGGTCCAGGGAAGCCAAAAGATTGGACACCCATGACTTACAATCTTCAGAGTGATAAGGGTAATCAAGCATCTTTTGTAATAATATTTAGTCTCAGTCCCCAGTTGATAACACAAAAGCTTCTGAGATCCTTGCGATCTGCTATAGTTTGTTTGTCCCTTCCAAACCTCATGTTGAAATTTAATCTCTAGTGCAGCAGTGTTGAGAGAGTGGGAAGTATTTGGATCATGGGGGCAGATCCCTCAAATATAGATTAATGCCCTCCCTTGGGGGTGAGGGAGTTCTCATTCTCATAAGTTGATCAGAGCTGGTTGTTACAAAGAGCCTGGCACCACCCTCTCCCCTTACTTCCTCTCTTGCCGTGAGATCAGCACAGGCCAGGTCCCCTTCACCTTTAACCAGGAGCAAAAGCAGCCTGAGGTCCTCACTAGATGCCCAGTCTTGAACCTTCCAGCCAGCAGAACTGTGAGTTAAATAACCTCTTTTCTTTATAACTTATCCAGCCTCGGGTATTCCTTTGTAGCAACACTAAACTTACGAAGACAGTGTGTTTTGAATGTATGCTAATGAAATAACTGGTGGCTGACACCTTCTGTCTCACCCACCAATGACTTTCTGGTAACCAACCCCCATCCTGTTTTGTTTTGTTTTTGCTCATCAGCTAACATTACGATGAGGATGCAGGGCTCAGGTAATCCTCCCAGGATGGGGGGTTGGTCAACAGAAAGACCTAGGCATGGGTAGAGAGTTGGAACTTTCAGCCCCACCATCCAGCTTCCAGGGAAGCAAGAAGGGCTGGACTAATAAGCAAGGGCCAATGATTTAATCAATTACACATGCTTGGTGGAGTCTTCATAAAATCCCTAAAAGATGGGATTTAAAGAGTTTCCAGATTGGTAAATACTGAGGTGCTAGGAGGTGGCACACACAGAAAGGGCAGGGAAGTCCCTTCTCCCATACCTTGTACTCTTATCCCCAAGTGCATCTCTTCCATTTGATTATTCTGACTTCTACCCTTTATCATAAACTGGTAATACAGTGTCTTCTTCCTGAGTTCTGTGAGCCATTCTAGCAAATTATTGAACCTCAGGATGGAATTGTGGAAACCCCCAATTTGTAGCCAGTTAGTCAGAAGTATAGGAGGCTCAAGTATCTGAAGTGGGGCCAGTCTTGTGGGACTGATCCCTTAACTCATGGAATCTGATGCTAACTCCATTAGATAATGTCAGAATTGAATTGCAGGGCACCCAGTTGGCACTGGAGAATTGGTTGGTGTGAGGGGAAAAAAAACACACATTTGGTGTCAGAAGTGTTACGAGCAGAAATAGGTAACCCACCCATCTACAAACTATGAATGTCTTAAAAGCCTGAACCAGCATGATTTGTGCCCACATCCACAGAGCCTGGCACAGGACTAGCCATCATGACAATTTTTATTAAAGGGCAAATGTCCATACTTCCATGGAGACACATTCAGCATTCCAGAATTGGCCTGGCTCCACCAATCCCTTGTCACACATAAATTCAACACATACACATACACACACCCCTCACACACACCTTTACACAAAACACTCCTCTACATACTCACACAAATCCTCCATCATACATATATATGCATGCCCTCACACCCTCCATGAATACACCCTCAGACACATACACATCCTTCTTTTACAAACACATCCTTACCCACACTCTCCATAAGTACAAACACACACTCTTACACACATGTGCCCTTCATTCATTCACACACAAACACTATAAATACACCTTTTTATACATGCTCCAGAGTTGCATCCTTTATAATAAAATAGTATAAGCACACATTACACACTACACACCCAGTATACACAGATACCCTTCAAGTATTCATACACACACATTAAACACACACACACATATTCACACCATTTACAAACACACGCTCTCTCCATACATTCATGAATATATATGCACCCTCTCCATAAACACATAAACACTTCATACACACACCTCCCACACTTGTACAGTCTACACACACACACACAGTAGAACCTGAGACACCCCCAAGCTCTCTGGCCAAGAGCAGCATCCCTGAAATCTGCTCCTAACCACTCAGAGAATGGCCCCCAGCAGCCTTGTGCACCCCCACCAGCAGTGCTGCCCCAATTACTCAGAGGCTGGGGCGCACAGCCCTCCCACTATCCCCGCCCAGTAGAGATTCCTTACCATGTGGTAGCTGTGGGTGCCTGTCTGCATTAGCAGCTGCTGCAGGGTGCTGATCATCTTGCGACGCCGGCGGCTCTCCTCCCGCACACCCTTGAGCTCATCAGCCTGGCGGCCCAGCTCCTGCTGACTGCGCTGCTGCTGGCCCAGGCTGGTCTGCAGCCGTGCCTCCAGCTGGGCAATGCTGGCACTCAGGCAGTCCTGGCAGTGCAGCAGGTACTCGATGATGAGCTGCGCCAGGCGCAGCATCTTGAGCAGTGCTGGGTCCACAGGCTGCCCACAGCGGCTGCATACCTCCCGCTCCAAGTTGCAGAAGGTGATGCCAGCAATGTTCTCCTGCAGAGTGGCCACATCCAGCTCCCGGGCCACGCGGTCTACATCCAGAGTGCTAATGCGCCTCCAGTCCATGCTATCACGGCGAGGCTGGAACTTGAAGGTGGGAAACGTGTAAGCCCCAAAGAGGGGGCCGCTTAGGCCCTCAGCAGTGGCAGCTGGGGACTGCATGGGCAGGGGAATCCCTGAGCTGACCACTGGAGAAAGGTGGCACCAAGGCCACGGCAGCAGGCCAAGTAGCTGATAGAAGGCCTGGAAAATGAGAAGAGAGTACAAGTTAGGTAAGGTGTGTGTGGCTGCACAAACTGTATATCTGGCCAGCAAGCCACTAAGTGGGGCAAAGTCAGGTGATTGTGCAGTAGCTTCAGCATGCATGGTGTGTGCTGTCATGGCCAGAGCTGTGGAAAGAAAAGGTAGGCTTTGCAATCACACAGATGTGGATTCAAATGCTCTGCCTTGGACAAGTCCCTGCACATGTTTAAGCCTCCTATGTCTAAGAAGGAACATGAGGCCCACTGTGCAGGCCTGTGGTGAGGAATGAGGCAGGTGAAGTACCCAGCCTAGTTCCTGGCACATAGTAGGTCCTCAGTGAGCCCCCTCTGCAAAGCCCACCTCCACTGCAGGAGTGCCTGGCAAAGGCCTTTGTTAGCAGGTGGCTGTCCAATTTAGAAATGGGTCCTTCCACAACCCTATTTTTATCTCAGGATAAAGTACAACTTGATGTGAGTGACCAAGCTACCTAATGTCTACCCTGTCCTCTCTTTCTCCTGTAACCACAGGATTCTAGTGGAACATGAGTGGATTACCTTTCCCAGCTTCTCCAGCAATAACATGTGATCACAGGACTAAGTTCTCTCTCCTGGAATATCAGTGACGTGATGTCCACCTCTGTTAGAAGGGGCTTAAGAGAGCCATGGAGTCTCTGCCACATGATGCTGAATCCCTGATGGGCTTTTTTTTTTAACTTAACAGTTAAGCAAAAAGAGCTCCAGTTTGTTTGCCAAGACTCAGTTTGTACTCTCCAAACTCTTGGTGAACATACGAACTGTTCTCTCTGAAGAGTAACTTGACAGTATCAACAGGAATTTTGAATATTCCACTAGTAAGAATTACAATTTATGCTACACACTCATATATACAAAGGTACTTGTGAAAAAACTGTCATTGTAGTATCCTTTATAAAAGCAAAATACAAGAAAAGGTAGAAGAAAGCAAAGTACAATGTATCTCTATGCAATGAAATATGCAGTTATTGATTGGTATAAGGCAGATTTACATGTACTGATATGAAATTATAATCTCCAAAATACATATGTAGATATATATGTAAACAAAGTAGGCATTTATACCTCTATTTCTGTTTTAATGACATATTAATATAATCATATTTAATAACTCACAAAAATGAAAGATATACATCATTTAGGATAGTTGTCTACAAGAGGAGGGAGGGAAATGGGAGTGTGGAATGAGGATAAATGAATAGACAGATGGTGTGTGGGTAGTGATGGTCAAATAGACAGGTGGATAGGCCTTCACAGACCAGTGATGATAATCATATATACATATTCAGTCTTCCCTCAGTATCCAGGACCCTCCTCAGATACCAAAATCTACAGATGCTCAAATTGCTTTTATAAAATGGTGAAGTATTTGCATATAACCTATGCATATTCTCCCATACATCTGAAATCATTTCCAGATTATTTATAATACCCAATACAATGTAAATGCTTTAAAAATAGCTGTTTTATGTAATTATTTAGGAATAATGACAACAAAAAAGTCTGTACATGTTCAGTACAGAAGAAACTATCCTTTTCTTTTCAAATATTTTTGATCTGCAGTTTGTTCAATCTATAGATGTAGAACCCACAGATAAGGAGAGTCAACATACATATATATACACACACACACACACACACACACACACACACACGACTCATATTTGTTATAATTTGTTTTATAATGAATAAAATATGCTCTTTATGATTCATATATATGATTTACTTAGGTATATTTCATAAGCATAGACTGTTTCTGGAAAGATAAACAAGAAGCTATTAGCAATGGCTACCAGCCAGGTGCAGTGGCTCCCGCCTATAATCCCAGCACTTTGGGAGGCGAGACAGGCAGATCACAAGCTCAGGAGTTTGAGACCAGCCTGACCAACATGGGGAAAGCCTGTCTCTACTAAAAATACAAAAATTAGCTGGGCATGGTGGCACTCGCCTGTAATCCCAGCTAGTCAGGAGGCTGAGGCAGGAGAATTGCTTGAACCCAGGAAGCGGAGGTTGTGGTGAGCAAAGATGGTGCCACTGCACTCCAGCCTGGGCAACAGAGCAATACTCCATCTCAACAACAACAACAAAAAAGCAATGGCTACCTCTGGGAAGTGAAAATGGAGATTAGAGGACTTTTATTTTTCACTTTCCACCTCTCTGTACTATTCAAAGTTCTTATCATCTTCTATCACTTTTATTATTTTTCAAAAGAAAAAATAGAATTTCAGCTCTTGCTGAAGTGAGAATCTGACTAAGGCAAGAAGAGGTACATGTTACCCTATTTAATCAAGTTATATCCAGATTGCATGATTCAGACTTTTAAGTGCAATAAAAAGTCAGAGAAGTCATCAGCTTCATGAAGGAAGAAGGCCTTAAAAAATGGCAGGTTGGCAAAAAAAAAAAAAAGAGAGAGAGAGAGAGAAAGAGAGAGAGAGAAAGGCCTCCAGGAACAGTCCCTGACCCCAATGAGCCACTGTCTTCTTCTGTGAAAGGTAGTGACAGGCCAGCCCTGCCTACCTCACAGGGTGCCATAAGACTTGGAGAAAATGCGAGGGGAAGGTGCTCAGTGATAACACTGTCAAGTCTGCAGGGAGTGCCGCCTTCTGTGCTAGCTACAAACTCCGAATACAAACCCACAAACAGGTATTATTATTCTCCTTTTACAAATAAGGAAACTGGCTTCTGGAGTGGTTCAGTGGCATCCCCCATAGGTCATATGTTGAAAACTTCATCCCCAATGCAGCAGTGTTGAGAGGTGGGACCTTTAAGAGGTAATTAAGTCATGAAGACTCTACCCTCATGAATGGATGAATGTCATTATTATAGGGGTGGGTTAGTTATCACAGGAGTAGGTTCCTGCGGAATGGAGGAATTCCGTCCCCTTCCCCCTTGCTCTTGTGCTTTCTTGACCTTCTGCTCTCCACCAAGAGATGAAACAGCAAGAAAACCCTTGCCCAGTGCCAGCACATTGATATTGGACTTCAAGCTTCCAGAACTGTGAGAAATTAATTTCTTTTTTTTTTTAAATTACCCAGTCTGTGTTATTCTGTTGCAGCAATACAAAATGGACAAAAACAGGAAACCAGGTTTGAAGGGTAATTGTAAGTTCATCTGCCACCAAAGCTTATGGACTCTGAACCACTCAACATTGATTCTTGAGGCTATTCCTCCTAAATTTTGCTTTGAACAGAAGACCACCCTTTATCCCTTAAACTTCCACTTCTTCCATTTACTCACTTCTCCTCATTTATAGTATGCCTATGTGGGCCCACTCTAAGATCAGGTCCTGGGCTATGAGACTATATTAACCACACAGCTGCTCCCCACGCTGGAGTTCAGCAGGGCTCCCTATTCCCACTGTACCAAATGCAAACCTCTTAGCCTGGTCTTGAGATTGCCTACAGGATGCCACTGGCCCACCTTTTCAGTTTCAGCTCCATCCTTCCCTTTCTCAGATACCCTTGCCCAACAAGTACTCCAAAAAGAAAACCAGCCAGACATAAGCAACCCCACCATGGCCATGAGAAGACTAGCACATTTCTACCTAATGTGCCATGTTATGGGGAAAAAAAAGGAGTTGGGCGACATGATACTCACCATGCTTAGCTCCAAAGCTGCAAATGCACCACCAGAGCCTCAGAGACAATTGCTCACAACAAGCTCTGCCTCGGAGCAACAGCAGGTTACCAGGCATGCCGTGGGCAAGGGTAACAGGACACCTGCTTCCTGATGTCCCAGCTCTCAAGTGAGCTCACCTGAGAACTTTACTGTTTAACTATTTAAGCTTGGCCTCAGATGTTTGCCAACAGTCCTCCCTCTATAGTAAGTCAATAACTCTCCATCAGCCACTCTCTCTCTCATCTCTCCTCCTACCTCTTTGAATCCTCTTCCTTAAACAGTGACTATTCTTTCCCCTTTCTTTTATGACAGGATGTGCCAGTGCCCGCTTGATACTCTGCTGTCCACCTGCACCCCATTTCTCCCTGCACACTATCCCTAGGAATGAGCTAACAGCTTCAGCTACCACAGGCTCAGCCTAGGCTGAGCCTCAGTCATTCCCAAATCTCTTTCTCTCTAGCCCCTCCAGTCTCTTGTGATATCATATCCAACCCTTCCATACTGGTTATGCCAGGAACTGTAAACCCAAGTTCCATTAGGGCCAGAAAAGTAACATTAATGCACAAAATGTAGCAGGTATGAAAAAAAACGCAGTGCATGCTTGATGATAAATGGCAACTCATTCCCCGTCTTAGTGTCCAAGATACAATAAGGCAGTAGTTCCCAAAGTGTGGTCTGTGGACCAGCAGCATCATCAACATCACCTGGGAATTTGTTAGAAATACAGATCCCCAGACGTACTGACTTAGAACCACTAATCTGTGGAGTATTGGGCTACTTACTGAACATTAGAAATTGTGGCTAAACTAAGAGTGCAGGCCCCGTTTAAAGTGGGAAACCACTATTGAGCTCCAGCCATAGGGGAATGGATTTTATGTTCCTTATTGGCTAATTCCAAATACACTGAGTGATATTCAAAGACTTTGATTAACTGTTTCCAAACCTACCTTTCTAGCTGCATCTCCCATTTTCCATATTACTTGCCTTCCACACTTTAATACCTCTGGGTTGTTTATTTAACCAGTGTTCATAGGCACTGTTTTTAAATGCTTTACAAAGAATCACTTATATATTTCTCAGGACAAGCCCTTGAGGAAGTACTATTATCATCTAAGCCACAGAGAAATAAAGACGCTTGCCCAAGGTCCAGAGGCAAGATTCACACTGAGGCAGCCTGGCTCCAGTCTGGCCTCCTATCCTCTATTCCATACTGCCTCTTGGTATAGATGGCCCTTTGCCACCTCCTTCTGCTCCAACTAAAGGTCAGTGCATTTTTCAAGGCCCTGCTTATAAATGATTACCACCATATGGGAGTGTAAATTAGTTCAACCATTGTGGAAGACAGTGTGGCAACTCCTCAAGGATCTCGAACCAGAAATACCATTTGACCTAGCAATCCCATTACTGGATATATGCCTAAAGGATTATAAATCATTCTACTATAAAGACATATACACATATATGTTTACTGCAGCACTATTTACAACAGCAAAGACTGGGAACCAACCCAAATGCCCATCAGTGACAGACTGGATAAAGAAAATGTGGCACATATACACCATGGAATACTATGCAGCCATTAAAAAGGATGAGGTCACTGGGCGCAGTGGCTCAAGCCTGTAATCCCAGCACTTTGGGAGGCCGAGGCGGGTGGATCACGAGTTCAAGAGATCGAGACCATCCTGGTCAACGTGGTGAAACCCTGTCTCTACTAAAAATACAAAATATTAGCTGGGCATGGTGGCGCGTGCCTGTAATCCCAGCTACTCAGGAGGCTGAGGCAGGAGAATTGCCTGAACCCAGGAGGCAGAGGTTGCGGTGAGCCGAGATCGTGCCATTGCACTCCAGTCTGGGTAACAAGAGCGAAACTCTGTCTCAAAAAAAAAAAAGGATGAGTTCATGTCCTTTGCAGGGACATGGATGAAGCTGGAAACCGTCATTCTCGGCAAACTAACACAGCAACAGAAAACCAAACACCGCATGTTCTCACTCATAAGTGGGAGTTGAACAATGAGAATACACGGACACCAGGAGGGGAACATCACACACTGAGGCCTGTCGGGGGTTGGGGAACAAGGGAAGGGAGAGCTTTAGGACAAATATTTAATGCATGCGGGGCTTAAAACCTAAATGATGGGTTGATAGGTGTAGCAAACCACCATGGCACATGTATACCTATATAACAAACCTGCACGTTCTGCACACATACCCCAGAACTTAAAGTAAAATTAAAAATTAATTAATTAATTAATTAATGATTACCATCATATATCCCTGCTAGGCTCACAGTCAAAATTCCCTGCCCCTCTCCTGGCCTTCTAGAGGACAGCACATACTTTGGCCTGTTAGGGTGGCTCTGCAACATTCATATCTCCATCCCATCAACAAATGATTCCCGAGGCCCTACTAAGTGCCAGGCATCATGACTAGCACTCGGGATCAATGATGACCTGGGCAACTATCCCTGCCATTGTTAATAAAAATAGTTCACATTTCTGGAATTCTATTATTTTCCACACACAGTGCTAAGGCTTTACACGTATTATCTCATTTAATTCTCAGAACAATCTACTATACAGACGAAGAAACAGAGAGTGAACAAAGAGAGGAAACAGAGAGAGGAAAGAACCAGGGGAAATGATTTTCCCACAATCACACAACTAGTAAGTGATAGTATCTGGCTCCAAAGTTGTTTTTCTTTTCCAGAAAGACAGAAAAATACACAGAAATTACTCCGCCAGAGTGGTAAGTATCAAGATAAGAGCTGGGAAAGGGTCCTCTGGGAACCCAGGACACTTCTGTCTCCTTCCTCTCCCACTCCCCTAGCTATGAACTTTACAGGGGCTGAGACCATGGCTTATTCATATCTGCTGTATCCCAGCCCCTAGCCCGTTGCCTGGCACCCAGATTGCTACTAAACTGAGCAAAATTGTTGAAATCTCAAAATATCTGACTTAAAATTCTATATTCTTGGGGTCTTGAAGAAATGGGGCTATCAACCACCAAGAGTTAGGATAAAGAGTAAAAGCTGAGTTAGGGATCCCTCATTGGAGGGAAATGCCATTCAGACTTAGTAAATGCTTGATTTGTTGACCCTCTGCATCTGGCAATTAATCCCATGGGCTACTAATAAGAGCTTAGAGTGCAAGAGCCCTTGCAGGTGGACTCAGGCATACTGGTGAGAAGTCGCAGTGCCCACGCTGACTGTCAAGATATTGCGTTGGTGTTGGAGCTTGCATCCTGAACAGCCCTGAAACCTTCATACTTACACTCTGCACATACTCCATAAACACAGAGGGTGACAGCCCCACTCCCAGCCACACAGAATTAGGAGTCTGAGTTCATAAGGTTTTAATGTGCCTCAAAAATATAACTCATGTCTTTTTCTAGAACCCTCAGGGTCCAATTACTAGATTTCCTAGAGCTCTGGCATTATAAAATGGAGCAGGGCCTGGTGGGGTAGCTCACACCTGTAATGTCAGCACTTAAAGAGGCTGAGGCAGACAGATCACCTGAGGTCAGGAGTTCAAGGCCAGCCTGGCCAACATGGTGAAACCCATCTCTACTAAAAATACAGAAATTACCTGGGCATGGCAGCAGGTGCCTATAATCCCAGCTACTTGGAAGGCTGAAGCAGGAGAACAGCTTGAACCTAAGAGGTGGAGGTTGCAGTGAGCCATGAGCCCAGACTACACCACTGCACTCTAGCCTGGGCAACAAGAGCAAAATTCCATCTCAAAAAAAAAAAAAAGATGGAGCAGAATTGTGGGAACTTGAAGATGATTATAATGACATGATGATAGTATAAAAGTTAACATTTATCAAACATCTATATGCCAAGCACTGTGCCAGCCTTTAAAAGTACTAATTCTAAACTCATAAAGCCTTGTAGATGGCTATGGTTTGTCTCATCTCACAGATGTAGAAACTGGGGCTCAGAGAAGCTAAGGGCCCTGCTCACTCAGCTACTAAATAATGAAGTCAAGATTCAAACCAAGTTCTATCAGACTCCAGAGCTTTTGAATTATGCTAAACTCTTAATAGGTATGATAATGATAATGATGATATACAAATTATTTCCCATTATGGAAATTACAATACCTGAGTTTTCTTGACCAAAGTGTAAGCACTGACAGAGATTACAGCAAATCACGACAGGGTTAGTGCTGCAGATTCTAAATTCTCCGTGTATTTCAGCAGGGCTTGTCTGAACCTGACTCAGCTCCACAGCTTTCATCCTGATTGGGATAGGCAGAACAAAGAGCCAAATGAGAGTGTTGCACGTTACCTGGAAACATACACCCCAGGGGCAAGGACATCGTGCTTTCTCCAGACTGAATTGTGAGCAGACTGCTTTTTCTACATCTGGGAATAGAAACACAAGGTAGAAATGTCTTGCTGTTGGCCGGGCACGGTGGCTCACGCCTATAGTCCCAGTGCTTTGGGAGGCTGTGGCAGATGGATCGCCTGAGGTCAGGAGCTCAAAATCAGCCTGGCTAACATGGTGAAACCCCATCTCTACTAAAAATACAAAAATCAGCTGGGCATGGTGGCACACACCTGTAGTCCCAGCTACTCAGGAGGCTGAGGCAGGAGAATCGCTTCAACCCGGGAGGCAGAGGTTGCAAAGAGCTGAGATCACGCCATTGCACTCCAGCCTGGGTGACAGAGTGAGACTTTGTCTCAAAAAAACAACAACAAAAAAAGATTCACTATCATTAAGAAAACTGAAGCTGTTTAATCACCTTTAAATATATTGACAGGGTCTTGGAAAATTTCCCAATCCTAGACCGATATTATGAATTAAACCAAAAGAGTATTTGTGCTAACATTCAAAGTCGCTTCATTGTTAAGAGTTGGTTTCTGCCTGGGACAATCCCGCACCCATCTAGCATATAGAAAACCCATCTACTACCCTTGCTTTGCACACTCCAGTGACAGGTTGTTCACCACCTCACAAGGCAGCCATCCCACTGCGAAACAGTCCCTGGAGACTTTATGGTTCTTCTAAAACCTGCTCATCAATAATCTGTCAAAGATAACTTCCTCAAAATTGGCCAAACACCTCATTTTTTTAACATAAACTGACAGCTAGACAACGATAAACACTGCCACCTCATTGTCTCTTCTGCTTCCTCAAGAATGCAGTCAAGAGGAGGACTTGAGGCAGCCAAGTTTCCAAGGTGGCTGCCAGGCAATCATTGACAAACCTGCCCTGGCTTCAGCTAACTTCAGCAGTGCCCGCTGAGGGAGCTCAGGCGTGTCATTAATGCTTATTGTTGTGGCTGCCAAGGAAACCTTTGCACAGTTTGCAAACAGGCTATGCACACACAGTACACAAGGGAGCTCCAGAGACCTCAATGGAGATGACGGGGACCTGGGGGATCTCCTGGAGTACTTCCACTGCATACCCTAAACTTATTGTCAGATTCTGTTATTTAAAAAAAAAAAAAAGTTCCCTTTCCACTCCTGCCTGACCCTCATGAGGGCTGCACCCACTCCTAGAACCTTCAAGCAACAAGACAGAGGTCCCCTCCACAAGGCACAGGGCTCTCTTTACAGCTGGCCTCCTATTCCCAGCAATTTTAAGGAGATATTTTTAAGTGGCCATGATTTTATCAAACGCCTATTAAGTTTTTGCCACAAAAGGATTTTCTTTAAAATAAAAATAGGGGTAGGTATTTGACTGATGTCCCTTGGGAGTGCTTTAGAGAAGAGAAAGCAGTGCTGGCATGACCTATCTTCCCAGATGCAGAATTGTAAAACAAACACATGCAAAAGAAAACTGGTTTAGAACATATTAGCATCTTCTTTGCCATGAAGGAAAGAGTTCACCTTCAGTGACTCCGCCACAACTACTAGAGGTGCCAGACCTAGGGACAGGAGACACTACGAGTGCCTAGCCAGGCTGGCCAGGACTGACCATCTCTGCAGGGAGTCCACACGAAGGCTCAGCGCAGCCCTTCCCTGTCCCCATCAATTTGAGTTGAGCAACAAATCTTTTGATCAAATATCAGCTCCGTGGCACAACCCACAGTTATGGTGCCCACATGAATTCAGGTTTCTGTTCCCAACCTGAAGCATACAATCTCTTGAGGCCATTTTATCAAGTTAGATACTATCAAAAAATATTTCCAGATGAAGATGTCTCCAGACCCTTGGTGCTAACCGAGATGACAAAACGCCCCTTAGCCACTGGACTGGAGGATCAGCCTTCCCTAAGCAGGGTTGTTCTCACTGGCCAGTCCTCACATCCGGGAGGGGTAGGGAGAGGTG